TTTGGGGGCTAACGTCCTCAGCACAATCTTGGACCTTCCATTGGTGGTACATATTGAATATAAATTCGAGTAATTATATGCTCGGCTCCAAAGATCGTGCCAATATAAAATCATTGAACGTATTGTAATTAAGCAGTGTAACGGAAAGAAAACGTTAAAAATCTCTCCACAGCTTTTTATTGGACAGTAATATTTATTTGTTTCTTCTCCCTATCGTATATTTTAACCTTTATTCAGGTCTCTTTCAACCACTTTTTGCTTTCTTCAGTCTTCCTCATCTAGGCTTTTATTATGCGACTTTGATTAAAGTCTTACCATTTGGTACCTAACTTTCCTGTTGCATGTTTCCGGACTATGGACTTTCGGGTCGTTTTTAACGGAACCCAAGGTCATGGCGAGGTTCAGCGTGTATCTGCCAACTTTTGGCTGTCTGCTTAGGAAGATTGCTGGAATCCCTGAGGATAGATATCTGATCCCATCTTGTTGAAAATATTTTTTTTGATACACAGATATTAAACTTTTTGTATTAACTGTTGCTTTTGTCGTTTAGCACGCTAGTTAGTGTTAAAGAAACACTTAACTGTATTGCGAAAGCAGTACCGTTTGAGGTTTTTTGTACTTTTGATATAATTTATCGTCTTTCCTAAATTAGAACCGCTAACATTGAGCAGAGTTTGTATTTGGATATAACTTAATACGAGTAACTCACAAACGCTTTTAACGCTGTGCAGACGAACTTAGTTCGGCCTGATCGAATAAATTTTGATTCGTTATTTCTGCGTTTAAACCGAATATTGGCAGGTAGCGTTCTAGCAGATGACAAACAGTCACTGATGGGACCCAGTTTTTATTCCTTCAGATGGAACGTGAGAATAATAAACTCGATAGATGTACGATGTACAAGTTACGCACAATATTTCTAGATTGAGGTCATAGCATGAAGAAATAATCAACTGGTGTTTATCCAGACGAGTAACTCAATAGCCCTCTCAATATTTAAAAAAGATATAGGTATGGTTAATTGGACGATAGTTATCTACGTCCAGTCTAAATTCTTTCATGGAGTATCTATAATGTAGATAGGCGTAGCGGTTAATAAGTCCCCAAAATCAATAGCTCTGTATGTCTGCAACCGCTAGACTAATCACTCCACGATACATCCATATTCTACCAAATATATCTACGAACATATCCGATTCTGACTTCTGATTCGACTATGTTGGCACATTTCGATTATAAAAGGTTTTATTGGTTACGGTGTTGTCAAGCTTTAAATCAGTTTCAGCTTGTAAAAGGACAGGAGGTTTGATGGCCTGTGTTAGTAATTTTTATCGGTCTGCACTGCTAAAGTAATGTTCAACAATTCAACAAAAAACGATTTGAAAATTTGATGTACTATCTTGATAAAACTTCCTGACATCCAATGACTATGTCATTCTTTGCATCACTCAGTATGAATTTCATTATGGAGATCAAAAACACTATCAGTTAATCATATCCTACCATGACAGAAAATTATAGAGAATCGACAGTCGTGTGATTAGCGCTATACCACTAGAAACTAACATAAAGAACACAAACGTGGTAAAAAGAAGCAATTTCGGGTCGTCTCAAAAAAGCTAAAAAATAAACAGAGCGACACGCAGGATGAAGCGTGGCATTCATATTAGCTTACAGTGGTGCTGGAAATGACAAATATCTCACCATTAGCGCATTGACCTGACTGGTTGTCACGAACGTGCGATGCACCCTCATTCTTAAATTATCAGTTTTAACCGCGTGGTAGTGGTATTTATTAATTATTGGTGCAAAGGTTTGGCTGAACATTTCACTTACTCCGATATTGTTAAAGTCCATCTTTTACCTTCAGGACAAGAGAAATATTTGGTTGAACACAAAGTTTCTCCTCAAAGCACTTTTATTTTTGCCAATTTAAAAATCTTCGTCCAATACCCTGCTTTTTCAGGAGCCAATAGTCTTTGACACTGATATATGCTGACTGTACATTGAGTGTGATAGAAAGATTCAAGTAAAAAATAAATTCTCACAGTTTCTGTACTTTAGATTTAATTTTGACAAGAACATGATGACTCTATGAGACATTTGGATTCTTTACTTCAAATGGGGTAGTTAGGTTGAGGGATATTGAGATTTCAAAAAAAAACGATATCTAGTTTTAAATCAGTGAAGTGGTTTTAAACTCAACATTGTTACGTCGACCTAATGTATCGCAAATGGGAATAACGGTCATATTTACGTTCATGTAGTCGTTTAATTTATCTTATTATTATGTATTTCTTTATAATAAGCTAGATTATGTTGTGAATATTGCTCTGGCTGTATTTTTTATTTCCCACGCCTGACTGTGTTACGCCGGGAATGCATAGCATGCTAGAATGATTCCCTATTTAATAGTAAGTTTAATCACAACGTTGATTTTTTTCAAGTAGATAGTCAATAAATAATGTTACAGGATAAAGGTTTGTTGTCCTGTAAACGATGTTTTATGAGTAAGCAACGATTGTCTTCAATCTCCAAACAATATCGTTTGAGCTCTGTAAGGTAAGTTTTACTTATGTACAAAATAATACTCAAAGCAAATGTACTTACATTTCATAACATAAAACAAGAGAGCTTGCCTGAAGAAATGTATTGACCTGAGTATCAGCAGCAGAAACGAAGAAAGCAAATCTGATTTCATGAAATTTTCAGCACTCTGAAACATTTAATTATGGATCTATACAAAAGATATAGTGGGAAAAACGCCGGATGTGGAAAACAGAACGTCATTGCTTACGAAGATGACGGCTATGATAATTCCTGCTTCATTCTGATTAGCCTCTAAACAGACTGCCATAGTTACGAATTGGAGTTGAGTTTAAATGCAGCCAACTAGTATGAATGATGAGTGTTCAAATTTACTATTGGGAGTCGGAATTAGGAATCAGACTTAGTTTTTCCATAACGAACTGATATCAGTTCCCCTGCAGAAATTCTATTTCGCCAAATAGATGTATGGATTTCGCGCCGAAATCCAAAACCCGCTGTCTTGAGTCCGTTTAGCTCGTTCGTAAGTCAGTCTCACCGAATCTAAAATAACTTCTGTTTCGGTCGTAGTGCATGAACATATTAGAACAGTAGGTTGTGTCACCAACCTGTGGTTTGTAACTGAAAATCCAAGACCATTAAATTCCGTATATGAGACGCATTGCATGTGTAGAGGTTTGCGTCTCGCGAGAAGGCTTTTTGTGTACTTGGAGTGCATGCGAAGTAGAGCAAATGAAGAGGAATGGAAGAGGAAAAAACAAGAGAAAAGGTGGGTCGACAACTCAATAAGTGCATGTTATGCACAATGCAATTATATCTACTATGGGAATCAACAGATAATAATCATAATATATAACAAGCCTCAGATTAAGACAATCTTCGAATCGAAGCTAGGAGCAGATTGTTTAGCCCACTACAGTATACGATAATTAAATTCTGACTGCTGGTTTTCTTAGTGGCCCTATCTATCTGTACCCGGTAATTCAAAGGGTGGTTCAAATGAGGGGAATCATAGCAAGAGTTTAAGAGAAAATTTATTATATCGCGATTGGCTCCTACAGACTTGGTTGCAGGGAACGACAACAATGAACCATATACTTGGATTAAATGCGGATCTATAAATTAAGTAGAATTTTGGTGGTCCATAAATTCCATCGATTCTAAACTGATGATAGATACACTTATCTACGTTAACAAAAACGTCATCTTCTAACAGCTCATGACCATTTGAGAAGACTGTTGCTGATAAAATATCAGATTTGAATGCTATACTGCTTTCAACTTCATCTAAGTTTAGATCAATAAAGTGGATGTTTTTAATCTTCCATATTAAGTACTTAATCGGAAATATCAAACGTAGGTCAGTTTTCAGGTAAATCGGTCAATATGTAGGACATACAATAGAAGTTAAAGAAAACAGTAGATTACTGTGAAGGTATAATGGAATCAGTCAAATAACCAGCTAGCCCAGTTAGTAAAGAGTTATTTTTATTGGTGTTCAAGCAGTTTAAATTTAGATTTGGTTTGTCATAATTAACCGACGGTCATTGGTGAGGAGGATGGATGCGTTAAGGTGGATTTATATAGGAGAGCTACAGGAATATCTGATGTAAGATTGGTCAACTTAGGGAGTGGTGTATACTCTGCTAAGTCAGAAAGGTCATTCATGAAGCCAATAGGGGTGGGAGAGATTGTTTGAGGATAAGGGACTGTCACCCACCTTCTGACAATATTATATTGTGGTGGCTTGAAGACTAGGAATACGGCCCTCAACAGTGTGAATTGACGGGGAGAGTGCTAAATGGAGGTGAAATTTTTTGATACAGTAGAAGTTAAAAGATTTCATAAGGTAGTTTGACTCAGATATTGTCTTAAATCCCTAAGGGGTTTCCAGGTAGACTCATGATGAAGTCATTGTCATCAGGAATATGGCGCATTGTTACAGTATTATTCTCTTGATTTTGTAACTTGTGCAGACTACTTGGACGGTAATGGTTCACACAGTTCAGGTGACCATTGTGAAAGCTAGGTAAAGTCTGATATTCGTGTATTTTAAAAGGCTCCTTAGCTCTGTTGTGGGTAGTTAGTCCAGTAGGTTCTCTTAAAGTGCAGATGGAAAATTGTTCAGAATAACTTTTAAGAGATCTACTCGTGTTATGTGCAGCAGTAAACTGATTGCCGTGGCACTTGATTTTGTGCCTGAAAGTCTTTCTGTTTTCATGGCTTAATATGACATTACTTATAGGTGACAAAAAGGGACAATATGATGTGAGTTAGGAGTTTCTTTACTAATTTATCCTCAGAGTATCAGTCGATAACTTGCAAAACATTTCAACAATAAATAGTTTATTCTGAAGTTATGATTTGCAGCGCTTAAAAATTTTCGGCTGGTGCGAATAACATGAAATTTTCCTATCTCTCGAATTTTCCGGCCGATTTCTTTGTTTGAATCCACTTGCAAATCGAGCGCTAGACTCTGTGGTATTGCGTCGTGATTGTGTTGTAAACATCTGGTTTGAAGTTCAGATATGGTTTCTGTTATTGAAAGCAACGCCAGCCCAGATTCTGCATTTACAGTTGTACGGATGGAGCCATCAGACATTTTGAGTCTTGCTGGTCAGTTTGTTGTGCAATATTACACCGTCATGAAAAAGTGCCCATCTGGAATTCATCGTTTCTATAAGGATGATTCTTCCATGATACGAGAGGATACCCCAGTCTGTGGTCAAAGAATGATTCACGAGAAAATAATGAGTATGAACCTTCAGGACTCACAAATTGCCATCCTGAAGTTAGACGCATTACGTGCCAATGGGAATAGCGTATTGATCCACGTAAGTTATTTAGGCTTTCTCATTTTAATCAGGTCGCTGGTGAAATAAGTATAGCCAATGAAGAGTTTAGACGGTTCACTCAGTGCTTTATCTTGAGGGAACAAGCCCCATGTGACTTCTATGTATTAAATGACATATTTCGATATCAAGATTACGTTTATGGTGATTTGAAAAATAATGTAGAGACTAATGGTAAGATCATTTTATCTCATGGCTTCTTCAGATGATCACTTGGCAAAGGTAAATGAATATAGTCCATCTGAGAATGTATCACATTGTTCGATGCCCCATTCAGCAAGAGACGTAAGTATGTTAATCGTTCAGTTTACATTGTTTCTATCTAGGATCATACTCATAGTTGGGAGGGTGTATCTGAAGGTAACTACAAACAGACCATCGATGAGATTCAGACATGCAATTCGGAGGTTAAACAAGACCAGTTAACTGTGGATCACACAGTACCACGTTCTTCTGCCTCACCATCTATTCAGCAGGAACTTGTAAACCAACCTCATAACATCAGTTCTCCAACAAATACAGCTGTTCAGTCTGGGCCTCCAAGTTGGGCACAAATGGCATCTAGGCAACCTCATCAAGGTGTTCCAAATGCACAGGCACCTAAAGGTTTAAGGAATAACGCCAACGTTTCGGAGTATGAGACATCGAACGAACGTCATAGGGCGGGTTTGCGACCGACTGTAGATGGTTCTCAAAGGTACGTTTCATTTTGGAAGATTTACTGTTGTCATTGTTAATCATACAATACCACAGGAGTCGAGATATATATATTTTCTGAAAATATTTCTCTCTACTTTGTTGCAAACATTCCCGTTTTCTCGTTTTAAGAGAACATGTATATCTTTTGGCGGTATCAATTCCACACTGGTTAGGTCTTCTTCTGTGGTAATTTTAAAGGAAAATAAAGTAACAACCTGCTCACACCATTGCATCACTTGATCAGTGTCCCAACATTCCTCACTTTACGTTTGTTCAATATTTGTCCATTACTTCTCGCTCTAGCTGTCCGTACATCACGTTTCACGTTACCGGGATATCAGTCACTTACACATTCTACTGTTTTCGCATCTGAAGTCCAACATAATTTAGAACCTTATGTAAGTGAGATTCAGGGCTATTGATGGCTCAGTTTTAATTTGCTAAGGAAACTACTTCAGCAAGGTTCCCACCTCACTCATTGGCTCAGATATCTTTTGATACCTCTACGATGAATAATGACCAGTCCAGTTGACCTGCTGACAGCCTTTTCTACATAAGAATATTTCAAAGAACCATCTGGAGTTATTCACGAATAACAGTTTTGATCAGGTCTGAGTGGAGTCCGTAGTTGAGTCCATTTCTCACGCAGTTTGTATGAATCGTGATAGATGCATCTTGTTGGCTTACAACATTGCTGTCGTAAATTTTAAACTTGGGAGTGGATAATAACCGAAGAATCACCTAGGTTTCCTCTAGGTCATGAATTTATAATTTCTCTGCCAATAAGTGCATAAACACGTTTTCCAAGTCGACAAATATTTGAGTTCCTAATGTCAATATTGGACATGGTCATTTTTAATTGTCATAAGGATAGATAGGAAGAAACCAAGGTGTGGGTAGATCAAGACATGGCACCAGTCCATTAAGTCATTGACCGCTTAATTAAACTGTGGTAACAGTTAAACTACACGTTGGGAATCGTACAATGACGCTAACGGGTATTTAATAATGGTTGGTTCAGAATCGGTCTCAGTGGAGCGAATCCACCCCCCCATATATATCGAGCCTCACTTTTATCCCTTATTTCCATTCTTATCCAAAATACTCGTTCACTTTACCGATACAATTTGGCATTCTTTAGTGTTTAACTATTAATGCAATTATATGGGCTTATGGTTAATGTCACTATGATTACATCATTTTTGTGAGTACCAAATTGTTAATGATAAGTAAATAGTTTTGCAGTGGCCAACGTGAAGCTATTGTACTGTTTCACGTCAAATGTTAATATAGATCTTAAACAGTAAAATATCTTAAGTTCAGCTTTATTTACCAAGTTTGATGTCACATTATCACATAAAAAGTTATCGTAAGAGCTGTTATTCTGTTTCAGATGACAGGTCGTAGAAATTGATATTATCCCAATAAAATTATATAGTCAAAATTCCCGTAAAATATCTACATACCTTAATTTAGTTGACAATATACATTGAAACGAATGACATTGGGAGTTGTGTTATCCAAATTAGTCACTTGTCATATCCATCATCAATTAAACATACATATCAGATGATAAGTAGTCACGACACAGAACCAAAGTTGTTTTACCACAACTCAGTGAAGTAGCAATAACTAGATTCATAATAAATGAGTAAAAATAATAAAAGTAAAGAAAATATTTAAAAAAATGTGTGCTTAGAGAGCTGTTAAAGCCTAAAGTCTATCGAAGATCGAGAACGAATCGCTAATGTACTAAGGTGAAAGTAGCCCTCACAGTAAATGACTCAGTCAACCTATTCAACTACTTTGTTCCCTGAAGTCCATCTATGCGGACTATTGGTCCGTGGTTACAGCAGGGATCAAATAAATGAAATAGAAATTCGAAAGACAAAATTTATTAACAACCTATTAATTGCTCTTGCACGATTAAAAAAACAACTTAGACGAGCAAGTAATCCGTGGTAAACAAGCGTTTTTCCATTTGAAGGTATTTACGGAAAGAGAAGTGTAAGAATGTTAATGCTATCATAGTAACAAGAAATTTGTATCTTTTTGGTTGAATGCTAAGATTTCATCAGTAAGTCATGATCAATATATGATCTGCATCTAGGTATTTCAGTAACTACAGCTTTTGTAAAGCACAGTGAATTTGTGCTTCTCTACTTGTTGTTTATTTCAAACTAACTTGAGCATCATTGAGTCCTTTGTGAATAAAGTAATACGTATCCGTACTGTAGAAAATTCCTTTCACTCGGTTGTAGAATGTGTTAGGTTACATGTTTGAATATAGCATCTTCTTGATAATAATGATAGAACTTGATTTTCACAAGTTGTGGTTGAAAACAACTAACCAAGTATGTTTTTGGAACGAAAATCTACCAAAGTACTCTAAATAACTCATTATTTTTAGGGTTCGTAGTATGGGGCCACGTCAGCAAGGTGAATCACGGGGGATTTCTGAAGTGAATTACACACAAGACGTAAGTACATATGTTGTTAATATCTTACATTTTTTTTATTTGATTCTGTTCAGAAATAATGGTATTTCTAACTTCACTTTCACTAACGCTTTTCATCATGAATATCTTTGTAGTCGAGTTATTACTTACACCAAACCCTGACATACTATGGTTATCAGTTCAGGGGCGTTCTAATGCCATGTAATTAGTACATATATATTCATGTTAAGCTAATTATGTCTAATAACGAAATTCAGGCCTAATTAAAATGTATTACAAGTAATTGAGATCGCTATTTTGATTCATCCACTCTCTAGTTTACTACTTAGTGTACGTTCAAGATTGGCTCCTTGTTCTTTCAGGCTACATTGCTAATTATTCACGGTTTATATTGTTTGTCGCCTTATAACAAGGAAGCTTGTTAAAGTTTTCCGCTAGCATTCCGTAAATTGAATAAAAATTTGGCTTCAAAGAGAATTCCAGTTGAAAGACTGTCGTTATTGATTCTACATAACGTGTGTCACGGTCGAATTATAATCACTTGCTTTTGTATTAATATTTCCATATACATGGTAACTGGTTTCCAAGCTATGTGTTTATTTCATTAATTCAATGTCATGTGGATGGGTTGTATATATGCGTTTGTTTCGCCCCATTATTTATGTAACAGTAAATCATATAGGATGTGTTTCATTTCGTCATTAGTAAAAGAACTGAACTCACATTCTTAAACTGGATGTGGGTAATAGTACCTTTCGGTTATTATTGTAAAGTATCTGAATTACTATTTTTTTCAATCAACTTTTTATAAGGTTGATGGTGGAGTATACATATCTTATTCTCGTTTTAATACAGAACCGAGTTACTTCTCGAGGAAATGCACCTAGAGGTTCAGGCTTTGGTGGGTCTTCTCGTGGTGGTGGCCGCGGTGGACGTGGTGGATTGGGAAATGGATCTATGGGTGGGAGAGGTTCTGGAGCAGTTAATCCACGTAGAACAAGTTAATACAAATCATAGAATTATCCTCTCACATGGACGACACAAATACTACAGATACCTTCACACATTGGTTTACCATATATACTTGTCACAGCCCTCAATATCTGTTCTCAAATACACTTAGGAACCAAACAGTCTGATGACTTACAATTTGCCTGCTTTCCGGTTTTGAATTTTTTAGTTCATTTGCCTTCGTGTTTTTCAATATGGTTATTCTCTCACAGGTTCTCGTTAATACATGAGATTGTAAAGTACCCCAATTGTTTTTCTCTTGAATTTATTATAACTAACACTAAGAAATGTTTTCTGTACTAGTTTGAATTACGAATTATTCGTGCATTTGTTACGCATTGTGCCACCTGATGAAACCACCCAGTTGATGTCATTCTGTAAGTTCTTATGGAAGTCCTTTAGCAACATTTGAATACTTGCTGATACCTTAATGCATTTGTATATGGATATTTCAACAGCACTAATTCACCTTATTAATGATCTCATTTATAATTTGAATGAAGTAACTTCAGAATTTGAGTCTACTGTTTCTGCTCGTTTAAAATCTTTCTTTGTACTCAGACTTTAACAACTTTGTCAAGTTTGAAGACAACTGTATGTGCTCGGTTAATGTACATCAGATGACAGGTTTATAAATTAACAGCCGATAGTGTAGACGAAAATAATTTATAGGTAACATGTTAGAATTAAACAGTATGACTAGACGGTTGTGCACGGACCTAAGTGTGGTACAATACTACATACTAGGTCAACAATCCGAGGAAAGATAACCTGTTCAATGGCGAATCAGATTATTAGTTGTCGGGATGATTAGTTTGGTGTTCATGATACTGTAAAAGCGAATGGTTTAGCCCTGTTAGTGGTATACATCTGAAACCTAGCTGTACTGTGGCACAGCGTCTAGTTGATATTTTGAAATACCGGTGATTACCTTGGTGATGGATTCACACAAGCCGTCAGTACTTCCCTCAGTTAGCTATTCTGTGTATATCTAATTTTTATTATGAACTATCGACTGTTGGGATATTAGAAAATAGGTGGAACTTGTTGTTTTGCTTCAAATAAACACTGAATATCGTAAAGGTGAATGAAACGGGGAAGTTGGTGCCGTTGGTTTTTTTCAAGCGTATAACTACAAGGCAGACTTCTCGAAATTCTAGACCTATTCTCTACCTAGCAATGCCAATTGAATCAAATTATACTTATTTTAAAAGAAAACAGTTCTTGAACAAGAAACGTACCGACCAAGCGGACACAAGCCTTTTGCTTTATTTATGTTTGTTGAATAGTAGCGGTATAATGGTGTAGGTGTCGAAGGGAGTCCGGGTTTCAATGGAGAAGGGTATCGCCGACATAAGTGGTTGTCTGTAGTAGCGAGGATTTACAACCGAAAAGTGATTACAAGCAATGAGTGGTAAACGTAGCAAACCCACAAAGTTTTAGCCATAAACCAAATATGATTATAAATGCTCATTTAGATGTATATGAATAAAACAATTTATAACTACATTGTTATGTCCTCAGCCCCATCAAATATCACATGGCTAATTCGCCAATTGGAAGACTGATTTGCATGACCTTGGCACTGACAAACCAATGGTGCGTTAACCGGTACGAACAGCCTAGAGTCCTCACTGGTTCTCGCCATAACTTAAGAATAATAAATCGTATCACAGTAGTCTGAAGGTCAAATGAGGACTTATAGTAAGAGAAATATGAATACTATCTAGTCCTAAACATCCATGGGAAAATTCAGACGAACAAAGTGAATTTACACGTCACCCCATTGCACAAGCTGGTGGCTCTCGGGATTCAGTAGCTAAGTAGGTGGCGCAATGGTGTTTGAAGCGAGCGGTGCCCGATCCAAGTCCTAGGGTGAATATCAACATCAGGATGCAGGTACGTCCAGCTGACGAGTCCCAAGTAGGACGAAGCGTGCATCCTGGATTCCACTGCTAGATATCACTCATCATTGCTTGTAACTTAAGGCAATCCGCAAAGATGCCAATAAGAGACTGGTCAATTGCGGTCCTAAACATCATTAAGAAGATTTAAACAAACAATACAAAGTGAACTATATAGTCTAGTTACTTGATGGTCATACAATAAGAGCAGTTTTTATTGTTGCCTGCTGTCAACTAGGGAATCATTGTAAGCATTCACTGAATAAGACTAATGTTGTCAGCAATGTTCATTAGGTTTGTCACACTCAAAACCTTTAGTTGTTTTCCCCTCTATTGGTAGGTGAGTGCTGCACACTTTCTGCGAATTTCACTCCAAGCTATTGGAGTTGTCCAGAAATGCTTGTTATGGGCATGTCTTTTTTACCACAGCTCGACATCCCAGATGAGAAATACAAATGTAGTTAAAGTTGGTGGCATTTTTTTACGAAAACAAGCAGCGCCCATTCGCAAGAAGGCTGGGAAATAAACTAAATCCCCATTTACGAAACACTCAGTTCAAAACGTGATGGCTAATATCGGACCTAGATGGCTGTTTTGACTTCTCAGCAAATGACACCACCAAATCAAATATCTAGATCTGGAGATGGTACGTTTAGGTCGCCGAGTCATAATCCAGTTGTCCACAAATTTGTTCTAAATGAGTTCGAGAAATTGTGAGTGGTCGAATACAACCAAAGATGTAGTTAATCCTATTTTACTTGATTGATACACATAATTCCCAGTTTGCATCTAAAATGAACCGACTGATTTTAGCTAATGAGCCGTTGCGAACTTTTCAGAGAACCATTTCAAAACTAAATTTGAGCTATTCTCAAAATAAAGAAAACTTCTTATATAGATACAGAATTCCGCACTTATTCTCAGATATTTTATTGGAGAGTTGGTTTGGTTACTACTTTTTATAAGAACTGTTATTAGTCAAATCTCAGTAGAAATTTCAGTGAATGATGATATTCTTCAGATTTATTCTATTTGTTGTACTGTGTCAGATTAACGTTTTCCAAAAAATGAGAATGCTGTATTGTCCAATTTCTAAGCATTGAGACATGATCGTATTTCATCATGTGACAGTTTTGATTATTGGATGCTTGAGCCAAGATCAATTCTAAACATCATGATCCGTCTACAGCGCTAGTATATAGATTGAAGTAACATCAAATTCTTGTATAGATTTTATGTAAGCGCTAATACTTCTACTCTAATTTCTCTTGTTGTTTCGATTTTCCTATATTTTCTTTTTATTGGCGTTCTGATTTGAGACCAGTCATACATATCATACTAATTAGTACTAGCATTTATAAACGCCGATCAACGGACTTATTTTATTTTCTAATAGTCGTAAATTTATATTCTGTATTTTAAAATAGATGCATGTGCCTCTAACTGGACTATTTTTCTTCTGGTTATCATCAACTTGAAACGAAAACCAACTTGGTAAGGATTTATCGTAAAGCGGATTGCTGAGCCAATCTTTAAGTGGTGACCAATATTATGTTCATCTAGTCTTCTGGTGCAGATTGGATTCGATTAAGCAAGTTGTAATGCGGTCACTAGTTTGACTGACTGAACATTGCGCGCAGTATATTAAGATGTAAGATGGTTATGACAACAGATTGAAACAATTCATGAACTATCATGTTAAATAAGTATTAAGATGTAAAATAATTGAGTGGTGTATATTTTGATGTATAAAAATAATTCAGAAAGGGGTTTTTGTGGATATTATAGTAATTTAATATTTGAGATTAATTGATTCATGATCTCAACTATAAAAATAATTGTTAGGTGATTGGTGGTAGTCGGCAGGATACCATGGACGTAGAGGTTTTGTGCTATATGGCACTTGGTGGCAAGGTTATAGACATATATGTATAAGTTGAGTGTATAACATATCACATCACATGTACTCATATTTCGAAATTCTTACATAATTTATTGCAATAGATTTCATTCAAGATTGTTGATTTGTTCTCTTTCAATTTGTTATGTTAAATTTAGGCACAGAAAATGACGAATAGTTTATAATATTGCATTAATAGAAAAGAACTCTTATTAATATTACATGGAGTAATCAGATGCATAATAGTTTCTAATCCTTCTTTAAAAAAATTAAACATTCTACACATAGTTGAATTATTTCATCTAGATAACTGTAACGTACTAAGATAGTGTTAATCTATACATACACACACTAGTTACCCGAAGGGAAATGTAAACACACAGAAAATAAACACTAGACAAATCATCAATGGGAATAAATAAAAGAAATGAAAAGGAAATTTGTATGCGAAACGGCGAAATAAAAGAATACAGACAACGAAGAGGGGAGAGATAGAAAAGAGAGTACCACAACTTTCATATTGATGAGTATCAATCACAGAAGACAAAAAAATTACCTAAAGAGAAAACAAGACAAACCGATGGAAATCATGAATAGCGACAATATTAATAATAATATACCTGTGAACAAAAAAATCACCCTTATATCGGTTAAAATATCAAAGACGCAATAAAAAATATACACATTTTAATATCTGAAAGACGCCATACGTATGTATATATAGAATAATCGAAACAACAAAACTACATGAATACAATCAAAAATACATGGTAAACGCATTAGATCACAGTTAGCTAGGAATCGTTGATAGGCAAATCATATATATATATATATATATATATATATATATATATATATATATATATATATATATATATATATATATATATATATATATATATATATATATATATATATATATATATACATATATGTTCGTGTAATAAGTTATCATCGTCACAAGTAACATTGTATATCAAAATAAGACAAACAACATCAACACAGAGTAGTCATGAAATTAAAAAACCCAAATCACAACAGAGGAGTATTAACAATCGAAAAACAGATTGTAGGATAAGTTTAAGAAAAACCAATAGAAGAGAAAGAAGAAGAAACGAATGATACACTATTACATATATAGTGATATAAATACATTATGTTATAGATCGAATTTGATCTGTTTGACTAGATTTGTTAATTGTGCAACACATGAATGCACCGCATCCTCCTTGGTAGATCGAATATCGATTCGTATTGTTCCAGTAGTAAACTATGCAGTGAGAGACATAACAGGAATTAACACGTTAGATTTATGAAAGTTATAAATATACGTATCTATCTTTAAGCCAAAAAATTCAGCGAAGTAACTTATGTGCTGAATAGTTAAAAGTAAAATTGGCAGAGATAATCTATGCTGACAACCTGAAGCGATTCCAGAAGTTACATGGAACGTAAAATTTTAATGATTTTACCAAGAAGCACCGTCCCTAACAGACTTCTTTGCCCAATAATATAGCGGGTCGTACAACAATCTCGTTTCTAAACTTCACACATTCATTGGATATCTTTAGCTAGCCACAGTTACGTGAGATACTACCTTTCAAGAATCCAAGGTCCTGTAAGTGATCAAAAACTATCTAAATGAGCCAAAATATGAAATCTAATCAAAACTAGGGTTTCTAGCAGTAGACTATCCGTAAGTGTATTCTGAAAATTGTTCTTCAATTAAACAATCTCTAAGTTCATTCTGATTGACCTTTTTATTAATTTTAAGGTTGTCTATATAGTGTGGTTCTATTATATAATTAAATGACGAATCAATCGATTTCGGACAGACTCGGTGGTTTTGCGCCAAATTAAAAAACAACGACAGATAACTAGTAATTTCTTCAGACCTATGCAAGAATTTAGTAAAACCTACCAATGTTTGGTCACTGAGACACTTAAACTTGAGATACAGAGACCAGGGAAGTGACCATTACTTCGAAGCTTTAAAGGTTTTTAATATTTAAAACCAAAGAATTGTATCAGTATTCATCTATATGAATATTTTCATCCCATTTTTAACCATTACTTTTAGCCTTAAACTATCTCCTAATCTTAAACCTAAACATGAGACTTTGTGTGAAGATAATCCTCCTTTTTCAACAATCGATAAAAGCACAATATCTAGCATTTTCGAACATATTTCTGTTCATTTAGTAGGTGAGTCCTGTACATAAGAATGTGATTTTTATTGGAGATTTCAGTTCGGTCATCTGAAACTATTACTTATGTCTTTTTGTATGCACATAATACTGTTGTACATTTCAAATTGTCGGATGAAAAAGAAAATAAAGTGAAAGTTGGAGGTTGAAGTGAAGTTTTCAGTAAAACGTATGTTTTAATATGCATCACTCTAGCACTGTGTGTGGAAAAATACCCCAAAAATATATGATACTATGCACGTACTGAAAATAAAAAAACTTGTACGCTATGAATTCACGAACACGCATTCTTTTCTTAACGTTTTTTCATATCTTCGTTTAATAAGCTATTTATTTATTTTAGTTAGATTCTGATCGTCGCGAAATTGACTTCACTTCCTCAAAGTCATTTAGGAGTGGCTAAAAGTCATCGACAAAGTATACTTCACCACCAAATAATTTGTGGTATGAACAAATTTTTTTTCTGATTCTCAATCTCAAATCTGCTTGGAATGGAAATTAACCAGTTCGATTTTGCTATGTATTTTTATGTATACTGTTGTAATTTTTGATGAGAAAAGACATGAAATTTACGGTTTGGGCATAAACTAAACCGACATATTAAACTTTCCTAATCTATTTTCATATAATCAACTAGATATTTGGGATCACATGATTACCCTTTGAATAAATGACTGAATGTATTTTTGATCTTATTACTCACATACCTATTCTACTTATTTAGGAGTGATATTATTTAACTGACTGAAAAAAAGTGGTGCAAATCAAACTCAGCATAGAATGTTAATAAAAATCCCTTCTCTGAATAGATTGCATTATGATATGTGGGGTTATATTTGAACGAAAAGTACATTCGCTTCAACAAACATAAATTAACGAGAAACGTTGATACGCCATGGTGATTGAAAAGTGGAAAAGTAGACTGGAGCAGATCAAAACAATGAGTCAGTATATGAGGACACACTGACTGGATTGTGTGGTGGTGAATTAAGTAGTTTGTCAGTTAATAAACAGACAGACAGAAACATATTTAATTTTGAAATGACTTGATTATCATATGTTCAATTTGCACAACTAAGAAAGACAAGGAGGAATTCAGAGTACTCATATCTGTTACTGGAAGTCTGAAATTATTGATTACAAGCTGATAGTGACTTTGCAATTAACACCATTTCTTGACCCTGTAGTAACCACTAAATTTCGTAAACATAGAGCCCTGGTTTTGGTAATAGTTAACATCTTTTAACTAGAATAGCCAAGAGTCTAATTCTAAGTAATGAAGGGAATACATCGAATACTATGTATTCTTTTTGAAAATCACTCATATCATTCCGACTGTTAGTCTTATTGATATCAGGAAACAGTCTAAGTAAAACAACCATTAAAGACCTGGAAAATGGTGGCTCAATATCGCAGATTGATTTTAGTTGGACTAAAGCACCACTGGATTTTCGCCCAGTGGTCTAGAGGTTAGACGTTCGCGTGTGAAACCGAATGTCCTAGGTTCAATACACTGCGTTGGGATCGTCAGCATATACTCCTGAGAAATCCCATACTACCACGAAACAAGTATCTAGTGCTTTTAAATTTTGCACCATTGTTTAGCTAAGATCAGTACGTGATATTAACAAAATTCGACAATTTCTATAACCACCCATCTGACGGTCTACTATAATCGTTTTAACAAAAGATTTTGCTAACCTGAACAAATTATACCTTAATTGATAGGTCAGTAGCTGGAATTTCGCAGTATCGAAAACCCAGATAAGGATGGAAATGTTTAACAAGTAAACTGAATAACAATAATTAGAAACAGAATTATTTTGAATGAAGTATAGTTCTGGAGAATTTTTTTTATCGCCCGTAGTTATCGATAAAATGAGAAAAAAGCTGCATGCTAACTGAAAACTTACGGATATTTTCATTAAGATGCATAACGGTTCTCTGAGTGGAATGTATTCTGTGTAGAGTGAAGCGGCACGATTATCCAAAGAGTCAATTACTAAAAATTAATTGTACGTATAAATAAAAAGACATTCATGAAAAAAAAGATAAGCTCGATGAAATCTTCTCCATCACCTCAATATTTTCATCTATCTATATAGCTTGTAATCCGTTTTATTTGCATTAAAACTATTTTTTTTATGGTGCTCTACTCTGTCAGAATAGAAAGGTAGACTAGTGATTATAAAACAACTGGCTTGCAATCAGATCGCAACTTTGAAATCCGTCACATCATCTATCAAGGCTTGATCAGTCATTACATCAACAGTGAAATAATTCAAAACCTAGTACATTAATCTATATTTGATATACGAATTATGATTACTTTATCCGAATGTAACATAGAAGACACCAATAATTGAGCAATCATTAGTGTATATAATTTGAATAATCATTATTTCAAATCATCGGGATGAAGTATCTCAATTTATTACCATTAGTTACGTAGTACTTAGAATTTAACTACAAACATATTACAGAAAAACACTGTTTAGCTGAGATAAGTAAAAATACAAATTACTGAGATTTCAGGTATAATGATGTCATGTTAGTCAAATAAATTCTGGAGAAAATTTAGCAATAAATAGTGTAGCCAATTAATGATCAAAAACAAATTGATGATCTAAGACTTAGAAGTAGTTAATCTAAGAGAGAATTGTTCAAACAAAGAGAAGATTGACGACTTACGTAAATCCTATTCAGCATAGAGTAAGAAAAAAACCCAACTCATGATCCGGATTCTCAAACAATCAAGTCACAACTATGATATACTCTCTCATAAAATGCAAAATATAAACGTATAAATATGAGGTTGTCAACGTTTAAAAAAATATTCAGGTTGAATATAATTCATGTATATTGGTTGTCTGAATTAGAATGAAACTAGAATTATGGATTCCACTGATAGCCACTATCCAACTCCACTTATAAAACTGAATGTAAGTTGTTTATTACTGAGGATTAAGATTTCACAAAAATAGCTCTACACAAAATGCAATCATCATAGCATTGAGATTTTATTTAAAATCCAAAACCTAGTTTCAGGTTGCCCTACTAATCACCTTCAAGTATAGCTTTGGCATATAAAGGATGGCATAAAAATATATACATATTTATAAATAATATAATCTTTCTTTGAAATAATTTTTGCATATTACTAATATGAGTTACAGATGTAAAATGAGATATTATCATCAAAACTGACATTTCATATTGTTTAAAAACATCTTCCATATCCATCAACACAGCGGTGAATACATACACATAACAGATCCGTTCCTTGAGACAATTAACTCACTTACCTAAACATGGTATCTTCTTTTCAAGTACAGATATTATTTGTGAAAAAATTTTATTTGTATGCATTATTAGAGAATTAGACTTTTCTGATTGACGAATAATTGACAATAAACTAGGACAACAAATTTTTGTTGATTGGAATGAATTCAATTCACCGGTTGACAAAAGGGAAGTGAACATGTCAGTATTTATTACTGATGATGATATACAGAACTTAGTTTCAGGTATAGATATATTATCATTGTTACTACTAATAATGGATTTATTACAATATGGAACGGATGGTATTGGTGAATTATTAGGGGACTGAAATAAAAATGAAAGACAAAGAACAAACCGTAACAAGTTATATTACAAATAGCATTAAAGATTACATCGAGATACACCTAGCAATCAAGGGATTAGGAGACTAGGTAAAACATAATGTATGGCAAGCCAGATGCAATAGTGGATAAGCTAGAAATGAGTAACTCAATATATTTATCTCAACCAGATGGCTATCATCCACATGTTTAGTATCTGGAGATGTTATGGGCACCTGTAAATACGCACATACGCTGTATACACTACCTATAAAGCGAATGTAAATCTAAATAAAGTTAGTTTATCTTAACCATTATGGTTGACTTGATCGTCAGTGGCTAAAATGGCGTCTGAGTAATCAAATTAGATAGTGGATCATACCATATTGGTTCTCTAATTTAGCTTAAATTCTAACGACATTCAACTTAATATCTGTTCAGAATGATTACAATCAATGAATGGATAATCCAAAGATACAATAAACGATAATGTATGTGGTTATTGTGACGAAATTTACGTAGGATGAAAAGACTGCAGGCTATATAATAAAGTCAATTAGATTTTTTTTTGCGTGAATATGTAGTTAGATTAAGTAATTGTAAAACTACTAAACTTGACAAGATGTTACAAGAATATGAAACAGCATTCAAACAAATAGATAATCAACTAGTTAAGTTATTTATTACTTGAAGTTAATCAACCAACTACGAAATGATAACTAGAAGAAAACTTACAGACACTAGGAATGACGAACAGTTGATTCGCCTTAGAATGAGAGTACTTAGCAGTGTGAAACCTTGAACACTTAAGCTATCAAACCTATAATTCCTAGATCTTATATTGGAATGTCTGTGTATTGAGAAGAGGAAACCACTATAGAGCAGTTCTTTGTTTTCTCCAACTGGAGTTCGCATTCAGTAATGAAAACTGACTTCTGATTCGATAATTGCAACAAACTTATGATCACTTTATAATTAAGATTTTTATGAAAAAAACTTGGTACGACGGCAAAACAAGGACGCATTATTGAAGGTCCTGGTACTTGATATAATATTATACTGGATTCTAGATACTTAAATCGATGAGACTAAACACTTGGCTGGGGATTGAATCAATAGACACCCTTTCAAGTGATACGATTTTACCGAAAGCTAAGCAAGAGTTCAAATAAACACTAGGACCAAAGAGTATTATCAAACAATAAGAAGCAGTCAAGTTTACATATGAGATGGCCTTTTACATTTCGTGTAACCGGGATGTATATATATTTGTTATTAAGTCGGTCACAGTTTACTTTCACTTGACATTATAACTATCATTAGTACGGTAAGCATAATTTATTCTCTACAGAATCAAATGATAAATCGACATTTACAGTGGAATTACACTATTTCGTAATATTGATTTAATTAAGTATTCATGTTTTCAAGGTAATAGAAAAAAAAAGGAAAATAACATACTTGTTTGTTTTTACTATTATTATCATTATGATGAGAATTCAATGATGATTTCAAACGAACTTTTTGTGATGATAAAATTTTAGTTTGTTTTATATCTGAGTCGAATGCTTCATAGCCTGATCGATGATAAGTTGTATTATTATCATTGTTATTCAATAAATTCTCATAATTAATATTTTCGGAAGATATTGATTCATTCGCTAGTTGATTATTATTATTATCCACCTTTTCTTTATTCATTTTATGGTGCTTAAATGTGAACAAAACACAAAATAAAAATTGGTTTAGTAAATAAGTGACCATTCGATGATATATCAAATAAAGTTTAATATCGCAGTCTTTCTATATATATATATATATATATATATATATATATATATATATATATATATATATATATATATATATCGGTAAGTGGCCCCCAAATGTCCTGGTACGGCCGACAGTGGGGAGAGTCTGTTCGCCCTCTTGAAATACTCTCACATGACCACGCGTATATAGCCTCTGCCAGGGAAGTCCTACTCACTTCCTTCTCGTGGCATTACTGTTGTTGACAAAATTGAGAGAACGAAAAACGAATGTCCGATACTTTAACCGGATTGGTAGACACGGAGAGTCCACCTAGGGAAGCTGGAAAAATCCTGATTCCAAACCAATGGTACACATGGGCTCCAGGATCCTGAGGGAACAAATGGCGTAGGAACCAATCGTTGGTCACCGGCTACCATGGGACTGCATCTTCTTACGATGCTCCACTGCCTTGTGGATCAGACCTTCAGGTCGAAAGCTCAGGGTGTGGCCCCCCAATAAAACCACCTGCTTCGGTTTGGGCACCTGAGCAGTATCACAGCCCTCACACTTATCAAATGAGATCTATGTGGCGCATATGTATTTGGTGCTTCCTTGTACCAATATCTATGTGCTCAAATAAATAATAAATAAATTTGTCGGTGATAAATTGTGGTTGCTATTTGTTTTCATACTTTAATATTATACAATAATAACATAGAGATTACGACAGACTGAATGAAATTAGTTGAGTCGATCGACAGAATCCCATGGACACTAAAATGGCTAAACAAATATGAAAGTGGTTACTACTCAATCATTAGTTAATTGTAAATATCTGTGTTACAGGAGGTCATTAGCGTCTTGAATAGCCATGTAGCAAGATTCGAGACTGTGAGTGACACGGAATCCGATTCATCAATGAGCATTAGTTCCCTGAGATTGCGACTAAATCTTGCTGAAGGGCAGTAACTAGTATGAAACCAAAGTCCAATATTAACTGAGGAAACATTTAACGTTAGACACCATTCGTCACGAACGTTTTTAAAGTTTTGGACAAAATGAAAGTAGACATCTGTAACTACATACCGTATCATTATTCTTCTCCAATGGAATAAAAATGGGTCTCTTTTATGATGAAAGAGTAATATTTATTTACAGAAAAGGATAATTTCAGTTGAACACTTACTTTAGACGATAATTTTGAAGACTTCCTTGGTGAAGTCTTGTGAATCGTTGAATGTTTACTATGTTGAGATGGAATTGAATGTGGCAATTTATTGTTATCTTGTGTAATAATATTATCCAATACAATATTTAGTCGATGATGTGGATCATTAGCGTTTTCAGTATCACTTGGCGATTCATTATCTATGGACACTCCCTGAATAATGACGATAATAAACGAAAAGGAATGAAGAATGACCCAATTTCTTCCAAAATGTATTGTATATTACAGGTAGGGTTATCAATAAGGCATACAGTTACTATGTATGTACATGAATGAAAAGTTTATACAACAGGCCACTTTTCAAATGCCCTGGTACAGCCAAGGGTGGGAAAAGTTTCTTTTCTCTTTTGAAACCCTCTCATACGGTCATGCATTTGTAGGCTTCGCTATAGAAGTAATACTCAACGCCTTCACGCAGAGAGGGTGTATTTTACGAAAGTGAAAGGACAAAAAGTGGATATTTGTTGCTTAAACTGGATTAGGGAGGTGTATAAAGTGTTGGAGTGTATAGAGGAGTTGGAAAACCCTGATTTCAAACCAATAATGTAAATGGACTCCAGGATCCTAAAAGAATGAACAAAGTATGAATCTACTAATGGTTAACGACTACCAAGGGATGGAAGCTATCGACGTTGATTGACTGACTTGTGGATTAGATCGTTGGGTAAAAGACTTGGGGAATGGTTCTCGGTAGTATCAGATATTATGTGAATTGAATTAATAAATAAAAATGTATATTACAGAAATGACTATTTGCAAATGTAGACAACATAGGACCTGGGACGAAGGTGTGTCGGTTTAATTGGCTACATCTTACACCAAAACAACAAGGGATGAGATGATCAAAATAAAAAAGTGCAAGAAGAGAATAGTAATGGACAGCTTAGCGAAAGAAACACGGTTCAAATAAAACAAGTGATAACTATGAAATAACGGATGCAACTACGACAATGGGACATTATTTGCCATTTCATTCATTACCACTGTGATTCCAACTTGTTTATCAAGGAATAAATGAAACGTAGTGAAGGCTATTTACTAGAATTCATGCATATCCATGTGTAATGAAACATGTAGAAATGTCATCTCAACAACTCATCTGAATGCTAATTCATAGAACCCAAGTACCACAAGACACTTGCCGCTGAATATAAATTATATCTGTTGATGGGATATACATACACTTTGTATAGAAACATAAAAAGCATTGGTGAGCTCTGACTATATGATGTGTAGTCTACAAAGACAGCATAAATATGAATTAAGAAAAAAAGGTTATGAATGAATATAATTTAGAATGTAATTACATAAAAAATGTTATCCTATAAAAATACCACACACTTCACAACTAGTCGAAGCTAGATAAATAACACGAAGTCAAGATACGTATGATTGTCAGACTGAATGCTAATAATAATAACAAATTACTATAGGAGGCTTGTGGAGATTATTGATTTTCATGGTTTACATCACAGACTGATCTTATTTAGACAACTGTTCAAGAATACAAGGCATTTGACAACCGTTTCATCCTGATATGAGTAATTCTAACAGTTCGTTTTCAAAAATCTCAACGGCGACTAGACCCAGGACCTTCAGGTCTCGCGGCGAGCGATTAACTTTTGCACTACTGATCTGGCATACAATGGTTTACGTGTACAACTTTAATCAATTAAAGATTTTGCACAACTAAATCTGCCGATGTCACTAATCTTGCGTGCTTTGGAGGTATTAGTAGATAACTTTCACATACCCAGTGCGAATGAACTTCTAAAGAGATAAGTTCCGAAGTTTTAGTAAGGAGCAGTGATCTGTTGGGTTCAACTATTCTGAGTGTGAGGCAGTTACCCATCAGTGGCAATGAAAGATGGTCAAGCAATATTGTGAATTGTAGATATTAAACATATAAACCATCGCGTATGGGATCAGTGTTCTAAAGGTTAAGTGCTCGCCACGAGACTTGAATATCCTGGATTCGGTCACCGATGTGGTTTCGGATATGAACTGGTCAGGGCTGCCCATATTATTGACGAAATAGCTGTCTAGTGATTAGTAATTTTCAATAGTTGCTAACTAAGATCAGTCCGTGATGGAAACTATGAACTGATAAGTTCATAAAAAAGAGAAAAAAAACAAGTACATAAACTAATATTTACAAACAGAATTTACCTCGGGCATATCATAATCACAACGAACAACGTGTGAAGTAAATTTGTCTTTTATAATATAATCTATTTTATTTTCTTCCTGAGTATTTTCAACCTGATTAGTCGATTTAGAATTATTATTAATTGTTAATGAAGATAATGACGATGAAGATGGTGGCGGTGATATGATCGGATGTTTTTTCTTATGGGTGCTTTTCGAATGATTGTTCTTCGTTGTTGATCTAAGTGATAAGAGAGGTTATAACAGAACAGAAACGTTTATATATATATATATATATATATATATATATATATATATATATATATATATATATATATATATATATATATAATGATGTACTGATACTACTAATGTCTGAACTGAATTAAGTGAATTTGAGGAATTTAACTAGGCAACTTGATATTGAAATATAATTACTTTTTGAAATACAAATGCTAAGGTTCATCAGAGCCAAGAAATACGACTTTTAAAAGTCTGCAGTTTTAAACTTTAGTTTCCATACTCTCAAATATACAGAAACGATATGAATGACGAACAACGGAACAACTTTATAAAAGACAGTAATATGGTTTGTATGACTGTGGGTTATTACCTAGTGATCATATTCCATTTGTTATAGTAACCAACTAATCTGTTGAAGAATGTTGATTATGGACTATTTATTGTACTACAACCCTTTGGTGAAGACTATTTTGAAATCCAGATGGAAACGGGTTGGCAACAGGTTATAATGTAAGACATTGATTTACGAGAATTCCGAGAACTCGACAAAATCTGACTTCCGAATTGTTATCGGTACCCCTATGGGAATGGTGCATAAGGTGGTTAGGATATGTACCACGTATGTCCACCTAACTTGATGTATGTAAGAGAATGCTAGTGTGGAAGGGGGTAGTCCAAAACATGGTGTAAGTCCATCAAGCCATTAACTGTTAGTCTGAACCATGTTGGTAGATACGGATTATCTGATTAGAGCCTAGGGGATGCGTTCAACCAGTGGTTGGAAGCTTTGGATGACATGACTCAGAATCGGTCAGTGGGACAGAATCATTCACTCTATATCTATTTAAATCTTGAGCTCGAGTATTCCTCAACATATACCTTTCCATTTCTTTTTTTCAAAGAGAATCCCGGATGTTTGAACGTTTTCGTTATGATTACCATTACAATTATTCATCTTATTCATTTCATCTCGTTACGTTAACGTGATATGACAGTTTGGGCTATTATACATTTGTCTCAGGCTCTACGTTGATATGACTGATTGACTGAATACCATACAGCGACGTCACATGCAAAGATTTTAAATCATCTTAGAAATTAGCATTAGCAACGACTTTAAACTTTTTTATATGACTGCTAATTTGCTTACGGACTGATATCAATGACTTTGACGAAGTATCCATTTACTAAAAACAGAATCATATACACCTTTTTATCCGAGATTTAATGACACCAACCAACTATTCAAATAGAAATAGATGGAGTGAAGTAAATAGCCTAGTATCAAAGAGAAGAAATATCATACCAGGAAACTGCTGATATGTAAAATTGAAAAATGAATTGAGTAAGAGAAGATACACTAAGTTTGCTAGTTTAACAGTAACTATAAACTAAACAGACGTGCAATATATGCTTAATATACTCAAATCATGTTGAATATATAATGTGCTTTCTATCTTTGTAAATTCTAGATCAAATTCAATGTTTCATGTTGATTATCACCAGATAGTTAGTATGTAAGGAAGTGAATCACAGTGTCGAGTCATTTAGATTAGTAGATACACTGTAACTTAGTTAGGGTTCGATCAGTGCTGATAACTCAAAAATTAGAAGACAACAGGTGAACACATCTGCCCCACTGCGGCTGATTTAAAGAAATGTCACCGACGTCTCCAGTCATTGGTTATGATGACTGAGAGAACTACAACTATGTAATGTACACTTGTCAACATGGTTTAGATCAAAAGTCAATGACGTTTTTGGCTAGTACCCTGAGTCTAATCCAAAAACTGGCCACTCATAAGCCTTAGCACACGTGAGGAATGCTCGGAAGACACTGACAATCGAATACTATTTTCAAAGGCCACGTTTCATAGTGTTAAGCTAAAACTAAGTGTACTGGTACAAATTACTCACTTTTTGGTTATTGGACGAACATCGTGTCATTTGGATCATTTAACATAAAATGAATATATGAACAAATGTCTGTGATTATTAAAGAAAAAGATTAGAAAAGTAAATAAACAGAAAACGGCGAACTGACCTTAATTTTCGTTCTACATCAGACGCAGCAGTTTGAAACTTTTTACGCATTTCAGCAGCGAACTGATCGGATGTAGCCAATTTACGCGCTATATTTAAATATAAATAAATGGAATTCACAAACAATGATAAATAAGTGAAAACAAACAAATCAGGAGCATACAAGTTCATGCAGTAGTTACACAGCAAAAAGCACTAAATTTCTACACAAAGTAGATATTAATGACTAGCCGCCTTAGATGATACAATTACTTAAATCCAGTCATTCATAGCATCGAGATATAACGAAACAGACGCATTGGATCATTGAAGGAAGGCAACTCAGAGACGAAAATGTTCTCGTCTACGATTTCATTTACTTAAGCTGTACAGTCGTATTTATAGTTAATTTTGTTTTCTAAAAGTGTTCTGTAGTAAGATACTTACTTACGCATGTTACTCCTGATGGAGCATAGGCCGCCGACCAGCATTCTCCAACCTACTCTGTCCTAGGCCTTCTTTTCTAGTTCCATCCAATTCTTGTTCATTTTTCTCATGTCTATCTCCATTTCCCGGCGTAATGTGTTCTTTGGTCTTCCTCTTTTCCTTTGGCCTTGAGAATTCCATGTGAGGGCTTGTCTTGTGACACAGTTGGGTGCTTTCCTCAATGTGTGTCCTATCCACTTCCTGCGCTTCTTCCTCCGCTGGGATTTGGCTTTTTCTCTCCCACAGTACGTTGTTGCTAATAGTGTCCGGCCAACGGATCCGAAGTATTTTGCGTAGACAACTGTTAATGAACACCTGTATTTTCTGGATGATGGCTTTCGTAGTTCTCCAGGTTTCCGCCCCATACAGTAGAACTATCTTGACATTTGTATTGAAAATCCTGACCTTGGTGTTGGTTGACAGTTGTTTTGAGTTCCAGATGTTCTTCAGTTGTAAATCAACTGCTCTTGATTTACCGATCCGCGCTTTCACGTCTGCATCAGATCCACCCTGTTCATCAATGATGCTGCCCAAGGTAGTAAGATAGGTGCTAATTAATTAAAAAAGCTTTAAGTAGCATATCGTGAAGAATTTAAAATCACATATTGAAAGGAAATTACGTAATAGTTGTCTAGTAAAAAATTGGTAAGCTGAAATAGTTGTTCAACTGATAGTTATCAAGAAGAGAATTGTTAAGTTGTAATAGTCGTTAGTTTCTGGTTGTAAAAACAATTGGAAAGGAGTAGGCATGACAAAGTAAATAAAAACAAATAAAGACGACAGATTATGGAAGATAGAAAGGAAGGTTAAGGCCATGAAAGAATAACAAACTGAACATAATGTTTTTGTACTCAAAGGTTGGGCTTAAACTCGTGGATAGCAATAGCCCCTGCTGTACATAAGTTTTTCATTTGCATTCCTATTGAGTCAACTTTTCTGACAGTATGTATAATTCTAAAGGAGGCTTCAGGTAAAGCGGAGTGGTCGGAATTGGCTAGATGCTCCAAGATTGAGCTTCTGAATGACTTCTGTAATCCTTTAAAGAGCCAAATAGGGTAATATTTGGAGATGCGTTTCGAAAGAACTCGCTTTGTGAAGCCAATATAACCTGATTCACATGAGCAAGTAAATTGATACATGCACACTGATTTGGTTATCAAGTGGACAATTATTTTACCTTACCACTTTTTACTAGCCGATTATTACGCATCTTCCTTTCAATATTTGATTTTCAAACGTTCACAACATACCACTTCAAGATTTTTTAATTAATTAGAATCGAGACATATTTCACTTCCTTTTTATTCGTATTTTATTTTGTTGATTTACAAGAATTTATGTGATATTCCGCAATATAGTGTAATGGATAGATGTACTACAAAACAATGTTTAGAATGCAAAACGCTAAAATTCGGATAAGGACTAATAGTTTTTTATAAATTTTAAGTATGCTACTTCAAGCGATTGAGTAATGTTGAAAATGTGTTACAGATATTTGGTACTACAGTATGTTAAAAAATATGTATCATATTTACTAAGTTATACAAAGTAACGAATGAACTCTGGGGATATGCACACACATTAACTAGTAATAAGCCAGTAAATACTTGACACTAAAAAAGACTGTTTCCACAGTACATAGGCCAATAAAAAAGATGAATTAAAATTTAGTTAGGTAAATAGTTTATTAAGTACGGATCTGTACAGTTTGAGTATAAGGAGCCTAGAGCTTTACTAGCCAACTGTCAAAAGCAAGGTAGATAGAAGTTTAGAAACACAATCTACTGTTTGAATACTCCGAACTCTGACCAATGCTCTACCAATTGAAATGAGTAGTAATTTTGCCGATATTATACTAAAACTCTTTTATATTAATCTGACACAAACTTAGAACAGTTCAGTATTGAGTTGTTGGTTCATGTACTAGTAATGGCAATTATATGATAAGGTTGAAAACACTCCATTGGAAATTCCTCAAATCTAAGTAGATGGACCGAGAGTGTTCGAACAAACAATCACCATAACTTTATTTTTTAAATGACGGGGTTAGAGCTTAACTGACCAGGTTACTAACTTTAGTTAGACAATAATAGAGTAAAAAATTAAGGAAAGTTAAAAGATTGAATAAATTGCTTACCACTGCTTTGTGTTTGACAATATTGTTTGTTAGAATCAGTTACATTTAGACTTAACTGTTCAACACCATTTTTGATTAAGTTAACATCATTTTGTTCATTAAATGAGTTCTCTAAATTATTCTTTTTAGGATTTACCGGTTTTAAGTAATTAGGATTGCTTTGTTGATTTTGCAACCGTTTTGAACGCATCTGAATGGATATTTATCAATAAAACAAAATGGGCAATTTAATACAATTAATCTTATTGACAGTTGTACAAATAATTTCAATTACTAGAAAAAAAACTGTTATTTTAACAACTGCTACTTATGAGTATATGTCACACGCTTAATTGTTATTTAAACAAGGCTAGTTAACTGAACTAATTTCAAAATATATCAGCCGACTAAAGCAGGATTACAATGGTGTATCTGTAAATGCTTTTAAATGTATACAAATAAACAAGTTATTTTGATGCATAGTATGGTTTTAAAACTGATATGATCATGATTAATTTACAATGGTTGTTTGAATCTTCTCACTGATGATGAGGACTGCAATTGATCAGTCTCCAGGATGTAGGTACATCCAGCTAACAAACCCCAAACACGATGAAACGTGCATCCCAGACTCCACTACTTGTCACCATCTATCTTTGTTATGAACATGTTTTAGCTATCAAAATGATAAACAGAATGTCAATCGATAGCCGATGTACAATGCTGTAAAGTGGTCAACTGACAACTGCTCACAAGATCTAAACTATTGACATAATCTTTAAAATCAGCGGTTGATAGCAAAAGACAATGTAGTCGGTTAAGTGATATACAAAAGCACAGTATTATTAAAAGAAACTAACAAAATTTAATCTGATTCAAAACACATACAATTATAGGATACAGAACTGATTAATTTGTTTCTTGTCATATCAATCCTTAACTAAATGTAATCATATTATACACAAGTAATATGGAATGAGTACTAATTTCAAACAGTAGTTGCTGTACTACACTATGTCACGCACATATAATCAATATTTGAAGCTCATAAATACCAGTGTAATAAGATGGGTTAGTTTGTTAATTACTTAGTATACCGATTTCAGAATTCAGTTATACAGTGCGAATCATACTAGTAAAATCATGCAACACTAACAGGGCAGTTTTACCATTTGAATGACTAGTGAGTCACAAAACGGACTGTCGACAATCTTACAAAGATTTTTAAAATATCCTTTTTCATTTGGTATGTTTGGTTTATGGCTAGAAATAAAGTCCAGAACGCTCAGTTTTCCTACTTTGGACTCATCAGCACTTTAACGTTAATGTCCCATCTTGAAACTCGAGGTCAGTACCTTTCAATTTAAGCTCAAAAGCTTTATCTATTAAGCTAACGGGTGTCAAGCAGACACTAAAAAACCTTTATTAAGAGCTATTTTGTAAATAATGCCTTGAAATAATTTAAGACTAAAAAAATTAAAAATAAACCATAATCATTTACCTCATCCAACTGTTCAGCTGTTAGTTGAACAGTTTGAGATTTACTATCTTGTAAACCAAAGAATATATCACATTCATTATTGACCAATTCATTGTTCCAATGAATAGAATGATGATCATCAGTGTCATTTATAGATTTCTTTAAAAAGAGAACGAAAAGGGTTAGATAAGTGTATAGGGTAAATTAGAAGTGAAAGAAAATTAAAGATATTGTACAGTAAAGTCAAAAATCGTCGGCTCCGTTAATTACTGCAGCATCCTTCACATAGATATATAAGAATAAAGCCAAAGTAACTGGGATTAAATCACAATGAGAGGATACAAGATTGTCAAAAGCGAAAAAATACTTAACAGTTAAGCTGAAATGCCTATTCAAGGATATATTAAACATAAATGAATCAAATGAAAATACTTTCGTATGATAATTCTAATTAAAAATTTTAAAACGAACAATTGAGAGTAACTAACCCCAATAAAATCTAATGCATTCGTCCACGGTTGTTTACGAACTGGTACTGGTGGATTAATCCAAGCGTCTAAATCTAACCCTTCGGGAATAGGAACTTTTTTCTGAGCTTTTGGTGCTACAGGAATGATTTCACCGGTGAACAAAGCACTTAGTTCATTTACAATTGATTGAATTAAATTGAGAATCACAGATGGTGATACTATGGAGGTAAGTGAAGGCATAGTATCCATCTGAATTGAATTACTTCGTGAATGAAGTTGTGTGTCGACCTTGTTGTCACCTGTATTGTTTTTGATATTAGTAATATTAATAGAACTGATGAGTTGAGAATTATGAAACTGATCAGGTAAATTATCCAATGATTGATGATTGGATAGTGAAGGTGAAGAAAAATCGCTATCCAAAATTAATGTTGACGGATTATTATTTTGTTGTAAGGTTGATGAACTGGATAAAAAGGATTGGATTTTTGTAAAACGCTTCGACACTAAACTCAATACTTGGTGAATCGATACAGCCTTAAATTTATTTGAAATAAGAGAAAAATAACAAGGAAGAAGATAGAATTAACATTGAGGAATGAATTCGATGAAAAAAAAGGTTTGTATAGTACTGTATGATTGAAAACAAATAAAAATATGATTAACCTAATCAGGTATTTACATTTTTTGAAATTAGTCTTGTAAACGAATTTTAATACGCTAGTTAATGAAATTAAATCGATCGTATGAGACTATGAACATGTAGTATAATCAGTCAGTCATCTACAACGTAGAACTAGGCAAATATGATAGTTTTAATACCAAGTTATGAATTTTCTTTCATTTATTAGCAAAATATGTATATAGGATTAAATAACTTACACGTTCTTGAACTTCTAAATCAGATGAATGAACATACTGGATAAATTTATTCATAAGAAAATTTGTCAACTCTATCAGATGAATAATTAAATTTTGTAGAATCTTTAAACTTGTAACTTGATCATCTACAGTTTCAGTATTATTATGATGTTCGTTGTCACTTGTATCAATTAAATGTTCACCGTTTTCTTGATACTTTTTATTTGTAAACGTCGAAGATAAGCTTTGAATAGCTATAAAAGTCATACTTTTAATGACAACACTGTATATTTTAAAAGCATTGAATATAAGAACGGCTTGAATTGAACTAGATAGACTGGGTAGTTCAAGGGCAATTGAAACAAGTGAATTCAATGTTTGTTCTGGATTGTTTAGATTACTAAAATACACATAACAAAATGAGACAGAGAAAGATTAAAGTATAAAGAACAATAATACTTAGGATAACAATATTAATTTCCAAGGAAGTTATGTCATATTTATTTGATAATAATTTTGAGGTACAAGCCACTATCGATAAGCTGTTTATGAATAGTTGCTATGTGAATAGGTTACAGCCACTATTTACATGTAGACAAACTAAGCGTGAAATCATTCTTATCTGAGGTATAATCGACTTACACAAGATTAGATAAGAATATGTCATCATTGGATGATAAAAGAATGAATTGTGATAGTTCAGCTTTCACAGTATTGGGTTGATAATCACATGATTGGCGAATACAATGCTGCATATACGTTACTAATTTATTCAAGAGAAAAGATTTAACTGACTATTAGTTCCAAGAAGAGACTTTACACCTATTCACTAACAAATCAAACGTTCATTGCTTTTTGCTTGTAACATTTGTAGAATTCTAAACCATGTTTTACTTATTAGTAACCAGTGTTTTTTTTTCGTGGTATTTTTCCTGCTAACTTGGAAAATGTCAAAAGAAGTAAGGACTGGATTGATTATAATTTCATTTCCCATACTGAAGAAATCGTATGGTATTTGTTAATCAATCATTCAGTGTTTCGATGTATATATCATTTATAGGAAATGCTAAACTACATGAATATATTACACTTTGGTAAATTTCAAATGCGTAGTATTTGGTTGGAATGTTAAAATAGTTGTTTTCTTCAACAAGGCGGCAGAAAAAGCCCATAATTGAATTGTGAAACTGAATATCTTCAATATAAATTGAAGAACTAGCATGAATCAGTGTTCAGGCAAAAGAAATGCATACCATGTAGTAACGTACATATTACTGTCAACAAATAAGGAAGTGAATATAAGGAAAACACAACTCCGAAAACAGTCCAAGACCATACTGTTTAAATATGAAGGTTTAAAAACCACCCCGGGCTGATAAAACTAAAATATATCAATAAATATTCGAAAAGTTGTATACATACATGATTGTAAGCTATTGGTTCACGACAAAAAAAATGGGAAGTTCAATAACAAGAAACGATAGGAAACAACAAGCTAAAATTTCGAATAATGACATAAATATCGTTAACTATACCAGAGAACGAGGTTCATAGTTATCATATGACTCTTGCATGAGAAATCTGGCAATAAACGACTCACAGAAATTAATGTTGCCTTTTAATAATAAGTAGCATAATAACAATTCATTTATCAGATTTGTGTATTTGATTTCCAGTTACATTAAGCACCAAAAATGATATGAACCACAAATAGATAATGTTGTGAAGAAATAAAGGAAAGGTAGAGTGCAGTCGAAAACAAAGTACATAAACACGAATAGTACATAATGGAAAATACAGTTCAGTTAAAAGTACGACTAAGGGTGATTCCTTTCAATTAACAGAGTGAATTTAAGAGGAAACCACAGTAGAATCATCAGTGACTTCTATTTCGAGCTACGCCTTTATAATGCATCAAGCCCCAACCAGGAAGTCAGGATGGACAGACAGATACCAGTTTTACACCGTTTTCTTGCATATCGCCATGTTGTGTCGTAAACTGACCAGTTCTTAGCTTTCTCCTCCTAGCTCCAGTGTCGGAAAATAATACACGAGACAGAAGCGGCTGAGATGATATTTTTAACACATGATGTTCAAGCCAAAGAAGCTAGTGCTAAAGATCGCAATTATTTCTAATTAATATTTGTTGCTATGATGCAGCATTAAAATACATATAAAGTAAGTCGATACAATTAAATCTGTAAAAATACAGAATACATGAAATTAACTTCAAATCTTACTCCGCATATTCGCCACATATCCATGCTGCTGCACGAAGTGTTTCTTGAATAGCATTTTGTTTACCTCCGCTTGTTAACGACTGACTAATATCCAGTAATATAGCCATTTGTTCAACACAGAAAGTTCGAACAGTCGGTACGCGAATGGAAACATCCATAAGTTGAGCAGCTAATAATTCACCATTTCGAATACCATCAATGCTGGCTAATTCCACAAGAACAGTAACATACCTAGTTAAAAGAGCATTAAAGTTTACAAAACCATCAGTTATGGATTGGAATTTACTTGTATTGAGAATGAATGAAAAAAAGTTCAACAATTTTACCAACCACTGAATAACTTCCTGATTTAGTGTATCATGCTTTGCTTGAGTCACCACTTTAGAACTTTCTCACCCCACTATTATACCAGACAATAACGTACGTCAGTGTCGGTGGTGGACAGACTTGCTAGATAAATTTTCCAACTAATTTACATTATGTAAAATTCTACTCCAGATGTCAAAATGATTTCACAACACACGAGAACTGTGCTCATATATCATATGTGATTGATTATCTATTAATACTAATATTTCAACCTTAAGGTAAAATGGATAGGAAAAAACCAAACAAGATTTGGATACAGCTAAGCAACTGTTTATTTTCATCAAACATTACTGTTTTTTATTTTTCTTATCTTATCTACCTATAACTTTTTGGGACTCCAGAATATCCCTTGAAAACGTTAATAAGGACTCAGGAAACGTTGGAAAACATTTTATCTAACTGGCATTGAACAGAAGCTTCCAAGGAACATCTAGAGAGTGTAGGGTCAGGTGTTACGTTTATGATTCGATATTTACCTATGGTGCTGCTATATTTAGTATGGTTCCAGAAACTTCCAGAAGCCAAAGCTCATCTATAATTCTAGAAATACCCTCGCTTTTGTACACAAATTAACCTTGAAGTATAACGCTTTTCTCACACTTCGCACCTTTTGTGTTCAAGTTGCCATGCAGATTTATTCTGGGGTTATCAGAAGTATCTGGGAAATCGGATCGACAGTTCATTTGGTAAGACTTATCAATAACCACTTCATATCATTGCGCAGATACTTTATCACTTTGTGTTCAAACAGTTTTTTACTTCATGTCATGGTCAGAAACACATTAGGAGATTTTAAGTATCCAATAAATTTATTAACTTTTTCATAACTGTTAGATTATTAAAGGCCTTTGCCGCTGCTTCACAACAGTGATTATACAGCGTTAAAGGTAACTGAAAATTGGTATCACTTTGCATTAGGTATTTAGCCATTTCTTCTATACACATATTTTCGTTTAAGGACTGATCATAGAGTTATCCAACTAAAACGTCTCCGAGTCCAATATCACGCAAATAAGACTGCTCAAACCAAGATGTAGTTTCATTATAAGTGTATGTCCAAGAAATGGAGGTAGGCCATTAATACTGAATGTCTTTAGGAAATGCACATCGAATTTATCGACACTCAAACAGTGAATCGAGCAGATTCATACCACCGATTAAAGTCAAATGAAGAACTATGCACGGATCATTTACGTGTGACCCAAAATAAATCACACATCCATGATATATGATATCTGTTTTTTGATCGGTGAGTCTGGCTGTCTGACTAAATACATAATCTAGACATAGGAAGTTTTAAAATCACAATTTAAGGAGACTAGTTATGTTATTTAGCAAACAAGGTAGTCAACATTGACTATATATGCGAAAGTGTAAAAAAAGGGGAAAATAAAATTTTAGATTAATTCGACTTAAATGTGCTGGTGATTTACAGTACTTTTTTCCACGCACCGAGGAAATTTACTAAGAAATCAGAATAAATCGAAAACCTCACTGAAAAAAACTATTGATTTGAATACACGACTACAGCGACTCGTAAATGAACTAGTATACTAGAGGAAATTACATTTGTCAATATCGTTGAGTTAATCTGCCCAAACTTCAAATAATTTGTGCAATAATAATGACGATTTCATGGAATTTTCCACCACTCTATTAGTTAAACGCAACGTAAAACATGGTACATATGTACATCAGATGAAATTACCACATCACATTGGCACAGAAAGATGGAATTGTCAGGTCGAATTTCATAGTAGGGGTAGTAACGGTATCAGTGATAAATTTGACTAAAGCAAGAACAAAGAACACAGCAAAATAGTGTGAATTCATTTATATCACAGATTCCTCTGTCCCACAAGGTATGGACATCGTTTTGTTTCTTAACTAATTAACACTACTGTTTCTATGATGAAAGTAGCTGAAGAAAATCCGCGAAATAATTTAATTCACAGTATTCTGCTACGTGTTTTGTTCTTGCTTTAGGTAAGTAATAATAATCTTAATGATAATAATGACTAACACTATACACAGCAATACAAAACAATAGCTTTGTAACTCACCATTCAAATGATGTAACATTACGATAATTATCTTGTGAACATATATACACAACTTTACTTAATAATTCATTACGATAATGTAAACCAGATGACGAATTGCCAATATGTATCATCAAATGTTTAACAATATCCATTAGATTAGTTTTTGATACCATACCATGTAGTAAATCCAATGCACGTAATCGAATCGATTCATCTTTATCATCCAGACAACCTAATATTAAATCTTTATGAGGTTGTACACTTTGTGGATGATATAACAGAATTTTACGCATTGCTAATAGTCCAAGATATTTTACTTGAGAGAAAGCAGTCCAGCAAAAAAAAATAAACAAACAATATGAGCAGGTTGAAAATATGAAGCTAAAACGTTTTTTTCGAGAAAAAGGCTATAGAACTAGGATTAGTCAGATAAACATAAGCAACACTGAACCAGACAAATATGTGGAACGATCCAAATAGTTAGATTGTATTAGCACAGCGATATTCCGGGGTAGTGGAAGTAGTGACAGTATCAGTGTAGTTAGAAAAGAATGTGCATAAACAGTGTGGTGCAAGAAAATTGAATCCCTGGAATAAGAATAACAAAGTAATCTTGAAAATCAGGATTTAAAGGAAGACAAAGAATAAATACACTTGCATCTAATGCGACTAATTCTGAGCCATGTCACCCAACGTCTCCAACCATTCGCCATTACAATAATATGAAGTCTGACCTAGCAGTCTATACTTAACGACACGGATCAATCCAATAGTCAATGACTCTATGGGGTTGATGTTGTCTTAGCTTGGTTGAATATACCTTTCTCTTAGCCTGTTCCTACCCCAGCTAACAACTACCATTGAGGTAGGTAGGTATTGGTTGGGCACACGTAAGATCTTGGATGACAATCAAAGTAATTTACATATAATTTAGACCCAAAATTGAGTCATACACAGGCAGTATACACAGTAGGTATATATATAAGTTAGTTGGTGACTAGAGTACATGATAAAAATGAAAATACAATCCATAAATTATTATAACTATTTTTTGGAACTTACAATTTTGATCTGAATCTTCAATTAGGATGCGTAATTTTTGAACGCATAACTGTAAAAGAAGATAACACTTGAAACAAACTATCCCTATGATATTTTAAAATAAAATTAAAAGATTAGATGTGAAGACCGAAAACCAAACAAATTGAACTTTGCTGATTTGTTCAAATAAATGTGGATATGGATAAGTAAATTAGTAACCTGTAATACTTCTATTAAAATTTATTGAGTAGATTTTCCTACCTGTATAGAAGCTTGATGACTAGGAATTCCCGAAGATATTGATATTAATACTAGAATTGAAAAATGGAAAGAATCGATGTATTAAAAATCATTGATTAATTAATAAGTTATATTTACGAATGATTGATTTCAGTTAAGGCATGACTGAAAACAACAGAATACTTGGCAGTCGTTTCATTCTCGCATAGAAATCATCAGTGCGCACTCATAACTCTATCATGAGTCAAATCTAGGGCCTTTAAGTTTCACAGTCAGTCACATACAACGTAGAACCTGGTGCGTATGTCCATTTATTCGAGTTGCCATACCCCGTTAGCACAAGACGAAATCTCCTAAGTAAATCCCAGAGTAGTACGAACAGTAACAAAACCAGTGGTAATAGTAAAGATTAGGCATAGAAGATATGACTGAAAATATGGATCAGTGGAGTAAGTTTCCGTGAAGTATTTTAGAAACTTTTGACCGAAAGGAAGACAGAGAGTGAATGAACTTATACCACAGAGAACGATTCTGAGCCACGTCTCTACTCATAGTTACGATGATCGCCCGGATCTCAACCATGTAATTCACACTAACCTACACGGTTCGATTCAGATCTGGAGACGATTGTTTAATTATTAGAAACGCTGGGTTAGTGTAAAGTAGTATCCAATCGATTTGTGATACAAGGGAACGGTCATCCAATATGATTGAAACATCCTTTTACTAGATAAAAAACACTTCAACTAGATTAATTTATATAACCCATTCACTAAATAAAAATTCGTGTAATGATAGAGATATGCAACTCGAGCGATTAGTATCATGCCAATTTCCATATCAACAATAATATGAGATTACGGTTGATGACAAGAGCAAAGTGATAAGTTCATGAGAGGTAACTTGGTTGTTTCATACAAAAGTTTGTGAAAACAAAAACATGGTCTGCAATACACTACCCCGCTACTATTTATGCTTCCCTACTATTCCAATAGTTAAATGGGATAATACGAAATAAACATGACTAATCAATTTACTTAATCACACGTATTAATAAAATACACATACCTGCAACAACTGTATTTATACATTCATATAACAATGACATCGCTGAAGTACTGTAAAACAAATTATTTTTAAAGACACAAGTTAGATCATATCACACTAGATATAATGTTAATTTTATAATTAGAATGAGGTTGGTGGAGATTGTAGTAATTTTCAACAACTAAATTCATGATTCAATTTCAGCTAGACTATCAGTGGAAACCTGGTAGCACTGGACGGCCGTTTCGTCCTAGTATAGGACCCCTCGGCAGTGCGCATGCATGGATGCGCATCGAATCATGAATTCAACTATTTAAAATTTTATAATTAACTAGATGAACAATCAGAAGCTATGTAAACATAAAGCGATTAACCAACAAATGTTTTTATTTTTCAAATTGGAGGGAAGTAAAACAGTTGTTTCATGAATGTATGCAGGTTAATTTATTGGAAATAAAAATTATGAACGACATACAAATATGTATGATAAAGCTTAAAAAACCAAATTTAGATCACGATGCCAATGATTGCTAGCCAAATAATTATACACAATTAAGCTAAAGAAAGACATGATATAGTGCCTAGAAGAAAGATGCATTGATTTGATTTATTGGATATATTAATAAAAAGAGATTTAAAGAGCTAAAATCAAAGAGAAAGATGAAAATAAACGACGACCGTATGAGAAGACATGGAGCAGTTAAGTTCAATATTATTCATGATTTAAAGGGATGTAGAGAGAGTGAGTGATCTCAGTTCCTGTAACCTAAAGTTTATAACCATTCATTCTGGCATTTCAAGGGCTTGAAACTTCAACTTGCGAGTCATTTTCTACGTCGTTTGCATGCAAGACTGAGACAATATAATTTACATACTGAAAGTAAAAAATTTACATCTCCATTGTACATACTATTTAAATGTTTTTTCAATTAATTAAAGAAACCTGTCAACACGTGGAGGTTCGCAAAATTAGGTTACAAAAAGAATACTGATACTACCTTGAAGTTAGAACAGAAATAAACTGGGCAGTTCAAACTTGTGACTTAAAGGTTTGAAGCCAAACAACGTTAACCATTAAACCATCGCTTCTCTCCCTTTATTAGGACGAAATGAATTTCTAAAATTGATATATAACTTGACAAATACATTACTTCTATAAGCTAAATAAAACTGAACACCATAGTAATTGTTCAGTAGTATATTCCATTTTTAAGAGTATTATATTAAGGTTTGAGATAAAACCCATGTATATCATTCCGTGATACTAAAGAAATTCAGAATGATTAACCAAGTAAGAAAACTTAAAAATCATCCCCACCATTATTTTTTTAGCATATATTAACCTGTCTACTTACCTATGAATTAAATTGGTCAACGGTCCGATTAGCTTTTTGCCTAGTCTTGGTTCCAAAGGTGTCAATGTGCCAAACTGATAAGAAAATATAGAAAGTATGCATATAAGAAATAAGAATTACAGTAATTTAATCAAAAAGAAAAACACCTTTAAACAAAACAAGTGATACCATTTTTTGTAAATATTCAAGTGAGCCGAAACATATAGGTGGAATACGGGAAATATGTTATGGTAGATTTCCTAAAAATCCCTCTACTTATTCAATTAAAAACATGAAACAAAGATTATCTTGTTTAAGAGTAAATGGCACATCATCTACTGTGAAGAACGTATTTACCATTGCTAATACGTCAATTACGACTCAGTTGTACGGTAGAGTATTTGAAGTTATATTTAAGGAAAGAGTAGCTACAGAACCAATGAAAACCACAGAACAGTGTTCATCCATGAGCAAACAAGATCGGTCTTAAAATCTTCCATGTCTTATGGTAAGATGCTTGATTTACGATCTAATAATAAGCAGTTTTTGCTTCAAATTATCTGTGGTTACTTACGCCTATTACCCCTTTTGGAGGAGCATAGGCCACCCACCAGCACTCTCTATTATTTATGATACTGTACGATAATCACTTACTATAACACGCGATACTTATCCTGCTCTACACTGAACACCGATGATCACGGATTCATGTCGAAGCTGGTTACTACTAAGATAGAAGGCATACAGGAACTAATCTATTCGAAGTTAGTTTGCTTGCTTGGGTAACTATGAAGTATCACTAGTCCTCGAATTCATAAAAAAGCATAACTCAAAGCCCTGAGTACATCAACCCAAACTTGGTTATTGATTTAGACCAATTCATGTTTTACTCAGTCTATCAAATGGTTTAGTATGGAAAATTTGAGTCTGACTTTCATTCTGCCATCCTAATAATTCATAACAATAGTAATGACAGAAGTAATGGTAATAATTTCCTATAAACAGTGGAAAAACGACCACCTATCCCAGCAGTATTTGAATTACGGCTGTCGAACTGCTAAACTAGTCAGATTGTAGCTAAGTGATGTAAAGTAGTAGATCAACATTTGTTTTAATGTTCTGTGATTCACGAACACATCGCATAGAGCAAAACAATATGTAAATTTCCATGAACAGATTCGTAATTAGTTGAATAAATAATTGAACTGTGAATGTGATGTATTATTAGTAGGAATGAAAGAGTGTTTGTTAGCATACACATGTAACATGAAATGTGAAAAGGCTAATCTAAAAAGCTATTTTGTAGAAGTATCTATGGGAAAAATCGCAGATCCATAATTCGGGTGAAATAGTCTGAAGAATTTAAATTCTCATAATCTAGAGACCTAGTTACATATATAGACATTAGGTGAGTTGTTGATTTTTTAAACTGGCGAATATGCACAGGAATCGTTTGAGACCAGAGTAACAACGTCAGATGGGCAATAAGTTCCCATCAATTTATAAACACCTTAAATGAGTTAAATCATACATTTAAACAATGGTAGTAGAAACTTGAAAATATTAGGACAAATATGCTTACCAATTTAATGATTTTGATAAGAACCCAATTATTTGAAGATGTAGTCATAAGTTTAAAAAATATGGGTGAAAGTGATAGGTAATTCTTTGGATTTTTACGTGCCAATTCACATATTACATTAACAGCCGCTGATTGTACACCTGAAACAGACAAGGTATAATAAAATAAAATACTCGTAATTTTCCACTATTTGATTTCAGGTTCCAATCTTGCTCCATATGATTCAGTTCGTGTAATCGGTCAAGGAGTATCATTAACCTCCATGAGCGAAAATATGATTTAAAGGTTCGAATAAACAAATCTACACTTGAATTACTGAATTCAATCAGATCAAATCTTAAATCGTTGTCAGGACATATTGATGTTTGCATCTAAAACTAAAGAACTGGTGTTTTAACCAGAAATAATATGGTTCAATTAACTCGGATGATCATAGTAGTGTTTCATACTACTATAGCGAATCATAAGTGGGTTGTAAACGGAATCTACTGGTATTATTTTATTTATAACATTAAGATATACTACTTAATTACTCCTGGAGCCCTTCTGTAGATAAAAGAGAGTTGATTGTAAGATCGGCGACTGAAAAACAAAGTAAGGAAGAACCTCGCCATAGAACTGCTGACTACAGAAAGTCGATCAAATTTTGCTCTGCGATGAAGTCACAATACTTAATATGGTAATATTTAAATACAGGATATACATGCTTTCTGACAAATATAATCACTAGTAAAGTATAAAGTCTTCTAACGCTACCAATTCACCTTTTTTATAGGAGTTAGCAGAACTCTAACTTGGAAGCGTAAGCAAAAATAAAAATGTGTCTCAACCACTAACCATTGTGATAGTAAAACTAATTAAAATTTCAAAAATGAAGTTACACAGGAAATAAATGAAAAATCAGTTTTTGAGACTAATCATGTTTTTATGGTAAATAGAGTACATGCATATTTACGAACCTTCACTTTATTCGTCTAGAGTTTATTATATAAAAAGTACAGTTACTAATTTGATATTGATGAGTAGCATTTCTAAAAAATGTATAGTATTAGTTACTTGTATAGTTCGTTTTACTTCAGTAATCAATTTTAAAGACATTTATAATAAAACCCCATAAAAAATTGTTCGAGATATGGTTTTTAACTTTTCTATATCATGTTCTTATATAATTGTTGTTAAAAGCGTAAAATTTACTCACACAGTTATTTCGCCTATATTAACACGGTCTCGCTATATATTTGTTATCTAGCATTTCGGTGAAATTTAACTACGATACTAAAGATAAGAATGTACGACCTCACGGCACGACCCCGAAAAAAATTGGAACCTACCTGGGTCTGGATCGTCCAGCTTATCTTTCAACTGTGGGAAACAAATACGAAGTGCCTCAGGATAATTAAGGAAAACTTTGTATAGTAACAATACGGCTTTCTTTCGTAAATATGGTTTTGGAGAATTCATCTTAAATGTTAAAAAGCGCGAAAAAAACATGATCAAGAAAAATATTAGATGAAACGTCAAATAACTGAACAATATACGAGACAGCCATAATTAGAGGGAAAGTAGATTTGTATTTCTGTTCTACGCTAAGATAATGATAAATGAAGGTCACCTTCGTTGCTACATCAACTAGAAAATAGTTACTACACTTTTGGTTCTGTTGCTGCTAAGCCAAATTGACACATTTGCCAATCTGTTCAAATTTATTACATGTCATCTAAATAAGTGATCTATCTATGTAGGACCCAAATAAAATTTTTAGGAGCAATGAGACTTATAATACATAAAGCCTTCCTGAGTAAGGTCAGTCAGTCAGCTACAACGTAGGACCAGGCACATATATGCATCGGTCCAGGTTGCCATACCTCGTTAGCACAGCAAGATGATCACCGGATTCATGGGAGTGGTTAGGTTAAAGGTGGTAATATATAGGAGAAAGATTGAATATAAGGATACAGTACCGGAATATAGAATTCCTGAGTAAGGACAGATTTCTGGTGTTTCATAAGTTAAGAAAAAAAGGTAATATTTCAGAAATAAGACCTCTGCTTGAAGCTTACTCTAAGTTTGAAACCAATGGACTGTAATTAGACGATCAGTCGGTGCAATAACCACGATCGAGGGATGAAGGCATTGAGTGACATGGCTAAGCATCGATCACAATGACATAAATCCATTTACTGTTTGTCTTTTTTTAGATCTTGAGCTTCAGTATAACTTCATACATATCCTTTCGTACCATATTCTCAATGTTTAGACTTTCACTATCATTGCTACGATATTATTTCGAATTATTCGGGTTTTACATTGTTAATTTAATCGCATCGCACTAACAGCATAGCAAATCGGAGTAACATTTGATTACGAATGGTCAGTAAGTACCTAATTCGTATATTTAGGCGAGTATTAGTAATGCTATTGTGGTTAAAAACTGACACTACGAAGACAACATTTTTTAAAAAGTTGGTTAGAGTTGCGCATATTCGATTTAAAATGACCATAAATACTCTTAAGGAATAGCTGCATATTCAAATACACTTTATCCCTCAACCCCAGCCAAAGTGTATTTAGACCTCGCGTGTACAATTCCTATGGTTTATTTCATGATACTTCGGCTCAGGGCTTGATCAACAAATGCCCTAGCATAGCTAGTTTTGAAAAAAACTTTAAATGTTATTAAGGTTTCGATAAGGTGAAAAAAGCCCAACACAGTTCTTCTTTCAGATACTGCTTACTATAAACCAAGGACTAAAGAACGTCTACGCTATGTGAGTTAATACTGGTAAGAATCTATCAAATCCAAACTAGCTTAACAAACACATGGGATAGTCTTAATGATAGACTTCCGAATCAATCCATAGAAATCAACATTACTGATAGAGCCCCATCACTGAAGCAGATGTACATGTAATGATACTAAGGCGATCAAAGCAAGGTATAGTTTTTAAAGGCGATAGTGGTGGTCATTTATGAAAACCGACTGGAAAATACATTTATAGCCAATGACGACTCAAGTAAAAGGTGAGGGATTTCTTAAACTAATTTGCACTTTCACTTGAGAAAAAGCAACCATAAAGAATCTCCGAAAACAAATACTAGGCAGGTATCTACACAATATTTTCATTACTTAGTATTGCCATTTAATAGGGTGGAAATACGTTCGATACAATAACCTGAGGGGAATAATTGTCAACCAAGTAGTCACTGTACCACTAGGGAGTAAATCGTGCGGATATTGGAACTTACCAGACTTAGAATGTCAGAGTACAAATCCGTGGCAAGATCTGGATTAATGAAACATGCAACACCCGATAAGGCGATTCCAGCATCATACAAGTTACAGCTCATTAAATCCTATTCCATTTAATCCTGTATATAATTGTTACCTTGCGAATAAGATTAGTGGCAAGCATGAGGACATCTGTACCAGAATGAAAGCTCTGAGAAGCTGCTAAATACCCTATACGTTTGAACGTGAACTTCTGAGAACTCATAACCTCAACGATATTGAACACAGCCCAGCTGGTATCATAACCAAGCATTTGAATCTAGGATTTTAAACGGGAATTTCATCAACTCACGTATAATAATTTGCTAATGGCATTGGCCTTGACTGAAAATGAACTGTCTTTCAACTCATTTTTAATTTCATCTAGACATTGACCTATGTATTTGGCCTGGTTCAGAGCTACATGAAAATATTGCACAGAAGTACCTCATCCACACCGTGCTTCCTAATTCCGCGAACAAGATCTTGTGGATTTTTATCAAGCACTCTTTCTAGCTTCCCCTTTACTACAGAAAGTGCCATTATCGGAAAAGCAGCATAAACCAAGCGCCCTCGGCAGAGTACAACATACAACCTTTGTGATTGATACAAACACATCCATGCTTCGTAGACACTTAAGATACGTTAAGATGACTAAACGTGGAGGAGAAAGGACTCCCATCACTATATTTTCTGCTATCAATGAATATCTATGTTGATAAATCCAACAGCAGGATTATAGGCTAGCTAGTATAGCTCAGTGTGGTATTTTAGCTGTTCAGTTGCAATAATCCATTTACAGGCTGATAGGTTTGCGATAATGATTATAGTGTCAGAAATAATGTTGGCAGTAATTATTTGTTAGAAATCCATCATATACGGCTGCTTCAGAAGATAGTAATTCATTGGTGTGTCCGTATTCATTAGACCCATTTTAACTCCGTTCATCGAAAAGGTGGTGGTTGCTTCGGAGGAGCAGCCTAATTATTCCAATCCAGTTATGATAAAATACATGATCTTGCCTCGGCACTGGCTTTCTGACGTTCAATATTTGTTGTTTTCGCCATAAAGCGGTATGTTAATTCTGATGTACGATGTTTTTGTTTGATCAATCAGAAGTGCTCCACATGTTGCACTCTAAAATCAGGTTGTTTTATCTTCACCGTAGACGCAACAAGAAGAAACATGGGTGACGAAGCTTGTCTTATTGAGGTTTACCGCTTAAGTCGAAGAATTACGCCTCTATATTCGTTTCAAGAAATTCATATCTAATTCCCAGATACGGAGCTCAGTAACCTCTTAGGTCCTAGGATGTGAGAGGATGCAGTATCGAGAGAGGCTCAGGATTTAAAAACTTGTTTGCATTCAGAAGATGTGAGGAGTAGAATGGAAATCGGCTAAATCTCCCTCGTAGTTGTCTCTAGAGTTTCGGCTTTCTGTCAGAAACGGACCTGGGTTGCACATCGTCAATTTTTAAGAAGTACGATTAGGGGGGAATAAACGTCTTAATTCGTTCTTGTAGCCTAAAGCTACATCGTTTTACACTTTTGGAGACTGCTCTAGCATTCCCGTTTCTTCAGCAGCATCAAAACAGGTCATTTACTGGATAGCAAAACGCTTCATAATATTCATGTACATGTCATTTTTATCCTTATGTGGTTCAAGTTTCAAACAGAAGGAGCTCTAAAATCCCTTCTTAATGTTTGGTCAATACTATTTTTATTTTTATTATTCATAAACGGCTTGTTCGTGCATAAAGGTTGTGAAGAAACCATTTAGGCTTTCTTAATGAATGCATTTATACACAAATTTCAACCATGTTTATACAATATTCGGTACAGTTAAACAAGTTTTGTATAATCTAGAGGACCATCAAGTTTCATTAATCTTTCTCCCTGCCTTGTAACTTAACTTTTAACCAGAAGTCGTGTAGACATGGCTTTATATTTATCAATCTTGTTTTCTCATATCATTATTATTGAATTTAGTTAATATTCGCTCTTATTATTAAATTTGTTGCATGATAACTGGTCATTGATGGTGAGGTATTTTTTATTGAACCCAAGGTTACGGTGCGTGGCGGCTAATCTTCGTTATTCTCTAAAAGACTTCTGTAAACGATTGACTGAATCATTGTGGGAACATTTTTTCGTACTGCTTTGTTAAGAGTAGTCTCACTGATCGTTTAGTGCTTGATAGCTACTTATTAACCGCTTTTCATTTGTTGTACTCGATGTTTCTTTGTAGTATATAAACTGTATAGTGAAATCCGTATTTTGTACGATTCAGATATTTTGTATGAATGATATAGTTTTTTTCGTTTTTATTCCACATTAGAGCCTTTTTATATTGAGCGCAAAGTTTTATTTTAATAAATGTAATACTGATGATTCATAAAGGCTTAATAAGCTATACAGACGATTCTTATTCGACCTATTTAAATAGTCACCAATTTGCTGTACTTTGCCAAGTACTGGAATTCTGTTCATTATAAACAGCCCAAGCATTATTTGTATATTACCATACACTACTGCCACTATAGGGACGTCAGTTCAAACAGTTATCTTTGACTCCAGAATTAGTTGTCTATCAATGTGCATGTTGAGGACGTCCAATATGTAAACAATATGTTTGATGGATAAGTGTATATCAAGTGGTTTCCTTCTTCCTGGGGCTCAAAAATCCAATTGTATGGTAACATCTCAATCATTAAGAAAGTTTGTGACGCTAAATTCGTTGTTAAATGCAAGGAAGTGTAATCTCGATATCTCCTCATATGCTAAACATTATCTTTATTCTATATCATGATAAATCGGATCTTTTTGAATTGTCCCCGTAACGTCTTTCTTACTATCAGTGAAATCCAAGGAGAACCTCAATTTTTCATATACTTGTAAGGCTATATTTAGTCAGGATAATGTCTCGAAATCAGCTATTATTATGGCTTGAGCGTATTGATCGATAACACTCATTGAAGTCGTTAACCAGAACTCTATATGTAGATTTTTCTACCCCACACCCGTTATTTTTTAAGTGACCTAGCATCACAGACATGGACAACTATGTTTCTGTTTCTCACTTTCAAAAGTGAGACAACTCAACCTAACATCCCGTTTTTCGAAGAAAACTGTGAATGGAATTCAATGTAGGCCTTTATCAAAAACAGTATGAGAAAACGCACCATAGTTTGTTCTCGAAATTTTTACTACGATATACAAAGATTTGACACATGCTGAAGTATAACATTCACCACTAGAAGTTTTACGACTTTCCTCTTTGTTGGATAGGGCCTATTAGAAACTGACGCAAATACAAACTAGGCAAAGATTCCTAAAAGCCCAGTAAAGAAAACTATGAACATAGTTTTTTTGTGTCTTTAGGCCTGCTTTATTCCACGTAATTTATTCGCTAATCAAAATACCACTTATTCGCCCTTGTACTGTACTAAACCAATGACGTTCATCCATTCTGATCAGCCTAACGTCCTATTGGTCTGTCGCTCACCTAACCCGTTCAGTTGAATCCAGAACACCAGTACAGCTTCCCCTATGTGAACATTCATTTCAGATATATTGGGTTTATATATCAACCAAACAGACAGCACCGCACCACAAAATCGGAAAGAACATTTATACACAACAAAGTCAAGATGTGACTGTAAACGTGGGAGACAGTAGTCAATAAACTGAACGTAACTTAAGTACAGTAAATCGTACAACAATAATCCATAGATTAAATAAAGCTTATAATAAGGGGAGTATATATATATATATATATATATATATATATATATATATATATATATATATAATCTAATTACTGAATAGTTACACCATAAGAGTATATAGGTAATATTAGTCCATTAACCGGTCTCAGAAGTTACTCGTAATTTATTCTTCGTAGGACATAACAGTTTTGGCTATTACAGGGTGGTTAAGCCGGATCCATAGGAAGATATCTTTAGGGTTATGAAATAACAGGTTGAACGTCCAAGAGCAGTGCTGTGTCTTATTATTTGGGCTCAGTAGTGCCTACAACGGTCTACAAAAATGACATTGTTTATAATTTATATTGTAGAAAACCTCAAATATGTTTAACACATAACTTACGATTACTTGAAGATAAATTATCATCATTTACTCTCTTGTTTTACAAAATATACTACTACACAAGAATACACAGTGTGACACATGAGTGTAGCATGAAAAATAGTTGGAGGCACCCAGTAGTTCATACTGGATTCGCGACTTTACTGTTACCAAAGCGTCCATCATGGATGCTTAGATGACACATTGTAGTAACAAGTACAGCAAATTCCAAACGACACACAAATTACTTACTTTCATATTAGCCTGGAAACAAATAACTTGGTCAAAATTATGGCATAGTACAAACCTCGAATCAGTGTATTCAAATATATGACCCCACCGACACTATTTATAGAGTGATGCACATAAGATCACGTGATGGTCATACTATTACATAAAACGCACTACATTGAAATCAGCCACCTTAAAAATCGGATCGTACACGACATATAACTCAAGAACTCACTTGTCCTAGAACATACCTAATCATTACTCGCTCATACACCGATAATTGAACTAGTTCAAGACCACCGATCCATGTACTCACACATTTTTGCAATCAGCAATTACTTGACAGAAATGTGGGATAGATAGAGCAATCAGTTGACGTACATCCTGACAAGCCTTCTGAGTAATGTTTTCGAGCTTTTGACTACCGCAAAACCTTACTGCCAAAATCTAAAAGAAATCGTCACATCGATCGCATACATCGCTTCTTCTCCCTGAACCACTAAATTTTACCTTGGCCAACTGCTGCTCTAGAATGTCTAATTGTTGGAAAACCGCGTCGTCTCATGTTACCTTCAAACCTATCCGGTATATGATCATGCTAGTTTTATCCCAATCCTTTGGAGTGCCGTATGTTCTTTTGGTAAATTAGTCGGGCATCCACTCATACCACATTGTGCAGTATAAGGTCATTGATTCAGTTGACCTTTTAAATAATACTTTAGATATTGTTTCAGAGTCATGGTAACACGCTACATACATATGTATATATGCACCAATTTTTTACTTTGTAGTAACCGATACTTTGTTAACCGCAGTTACTCGAATAGGCTATTTATGATTCCAAAGTGAATTTATTTTATACACTCATTGGTATTTGTTAAGTAATTACACCAGAACATTGAACATTTCCTTATTTATACATGTGTATGAATATGTCTTTATCTATAATCTAAGTGATTATCTATCTCCTCGTCAATATTTTATACAAGATATACATTTATGTGCAAAATGAATTAATCATAACCAGAATGAGTCGGCTATGTGCCGAAATCATGCTTTATCTATATATCTTCACTGAGATGACTGTATGCTCATAAGCGAATCCCAGAAGTAAACATATCTACACTAAATTTCATATTTCAGACTTTTGATTATTTCATATAACGTGATTAGAAGATGCACGACGTTATGTTAGTCCTACAATGTATTAATATTAGTACTGTTCGATTTTAATGGAGTCAACAATAGGTACTACAATTCAGTCCTTAGTATATATCGAGAA